AAATTACACTACGTGTTCTCAATAATGTATGCTTGTGTTATTATTGTGCTATAGATAGTTATCAATACACTATGTTGTGTAGGTTAACCTATAAGATGGAAAATTCTTCTGAAAAACATACATTATGTTATGGTTTTCGTTTTCTCATATAGGGGGACATTTTATAGATGATGTCTAAGCATTTGGTGTAAGATTGATTTGTTGAAAAATATTTGTTATAAAATAACACTGCGAGTTATCAATAGTGTATGCTAGTGTTGTCATTATGCTATGTGTATTTGTCAATACACTGTGTGCGGTGCATGATGGAATTAATAAGTATAGGTTATCACAATAAGAACAATCGCATAAGATAGTGATTTATCATAGTAATTGATATTGTTGTTGTACCTTATAAGGCTGATTTGTGATGCAAGATGACCTCCATAAAAAGAAGATAGAATACTTGTGGTGGCTACTGGATCATCAAAATTATGTGAAGGAGTGCAAAGCCATGTCCTTGTTAGCAAGATCTCGAGAAAGCAAGAAGAGGAAATTGAAGGGCTAATTAATTCATGAATTGATTGTAGAATAGAACTTGATTGATGATTATGTACTTGTGTATAGTTAACTTAGTAAATACTATTATGAATGTTGATTTCAAATTTATAAATGTGGCTAATAGTTTGTTTTATTAATCACATGTTAACATGTGGCCAAGAGTGATTGATAAGTGGCCAATGGTTATTAACAAGTTATGTGTATCAATTTATTAGGTTGTAAAATTTTACAAGTTATAATACTCATTGACAACTTTTCATTAGCCATTGACTATAAGGAAATGACCATTGATAAGTGCGAATATATTAGATGTAATAGTTTTCTTTAAAATGAATAAGTTATAATACTCCATTGACATCTTGCCAATGAATATTGACTGCAGAGAAATTGCTATTGACAAGTGAGACATTGGTCATTGACAAGAACAAATATATCAAGTTCAAAAATTCCCTTTAAAGAACAAGTTATGAGAATCTATTGACAACTTGCCAAAGGCCGTTAACTATAAGGAAATGAATATTGATAAGTGAGACATTGGCCATTAATAAATGATAAAGTTCTTAGTATATGAATTTCTTTCCAAAGTGCACAAGTTAATTGATGTTGATATTGACAACAAGTTAGCTCGTATTGACAACATATAAATTGGCAATAACAATGTTTCATAGCAAAAAATATGAATGAATGGACATGCACCGAAAAAAAAGTTCCATGTGCATTAAAAAAAAAATACACTTGTCTCTAACATTCACTAGCATGGAATATTAAATGGTTCTTGCAAGTTTTGGAAGTATGGCCAGTCTCATAGTATCTTCTATAATAATAAATCTTTTTTTTTTTGAATTTGAGATTCCCTTCTTTTATCCCTTGGGAGGTCTTCTAGTTATTGAGCCTCCAAGAAAGTTTGGGTCAACAAATTTGTCATTATCAATGCTCTTGGACTTGGACAATCATGTGTGGCTATTGCATATGCTACAATATTTGATGAACATCCCTTAACCTTGCAATTCATAATGATCTTGTCTATATTATTCTTCATAAACTTATATGAAAACTTGTGTAAAATGTTGTGCTTGTATAATGCTTGCCTAAAGTCCCCACCATTGGAAAAAGTTTGCCCTTTACCTGTAAACAAATTCCTTTCATTTCATATAATTTATTTCAAGTATTGGTGTAGATACCATTTCAAGTTTTCCCTTCACCTTAAAACAAATCTTTCCTATAATTAATGGTATCATTCTTTTAAACTCTTCTATGTTGTCCCTTCTTTTATTGTTCTTGTTCTTATACCTCCCACATTTTGCATATTTTCTTGGTAGGCATCATCTAGAAAATGTCCCCTTATATGAAAAAACATAATAGATTTTTTCTAAAAGACTTTCTATCTTACAGGTCAACCTGCACCACACACTGTGTATTAACAATTATCCATAGATAATGACAACAAATGCATAAATTATTGACAACACGTAGTGTTATTTTACAATAAATATTTTTCAACAAATAATTCTCACACTAGATTCTTGGGCATCATTTAGAAAATATCCTCCTATATGAAAAAAAAACATAATATATGTTTTCCAAAAGAATTTTCCATCTTATAAGTTAATTTACACTACACATAGTGTATTGACAATTACCATAACATAATGACAATACAAACATAAATTATTGACAACACATAGTGTTCTTTCATAACAAAGATTTTTTAACACATACATCTTGCACCACAATCCTTCCATACCTATTAACTATGTGAAATAGACTTGCATAGCTATGCGAAAATTAACCAAAATCATATAGGTTAGATTGCCTTGAACCAATGAACACCCACAACATGCATACCCACGAGGAGAGAAACAGACATGCGAAACCTCATTATTCTACCCTCAAACAATAATAACCCAATTGAAATCATTAACAGGGGACATATTCAGCACAAGTTAGTTACTCGATTTAGCAGTCATTGATCAAAATGGCAATGCTCTTCTTTTTTTTTCTGAACAAAATCCTATAGTCATGAACACCTAATTTACTTAGATGATTGAAATAGCAGCAATCATAGATACGAGGAAGTGAGAATTACCCTACCTTGATCATTGATTATGAATATGCAGCAACCATCGAAAATGATCAATAGTCATGAATCATGGATCATGTGACATGTGTGCATAAAATCTCCTTTAACTTAAGAGGGGTAAATTGATCATTACCTTTTAAAACTTATTCACTCCTGAGTGAGAGAGAGAGAGAGAGAGTCGTACCACGATAGAGGAGAATTGATATTGATAATGGATTAATAAGAGGCGCGGACGCATGTGATGAGGGGGCGAGAAGAATATATCGTGAAGACAGTAAAAACTAAAATGAGATTTCAAATCAAATAAAGTCCAAAGAAAAATAATACTCCCTTCGTCTTAAATTATAAGATACTTTTAAATAAAATCTCACATATCAATAAACTTATTAAATATACTTTATAACCTTACTTTTTCAAAATAAAAATATAAACTTTTAAAAATACCCTTCATTTAATACTCTATTGATAGAAGGATATCGAAGAGAGAGAATATATGAAAAGGATAATAATAAAAAAGTATAATTAATAAAATCTTATTTTTATCAAAGTGTCTTATATTTTGATATGCTTAAGCTTCCCTTAAAATTATCTTATAATTTGATGTGGAGGGTGTATAATGATATTTTAGATTATTAGAAAGATTAGGAAATATTGTGTACAAAATATTATAAATAAGAGTTTCAAAGGCTGTTCAAATGGATCCAATCACTTATATATGTATCTTTTTAAGTATTTTTTTCAAGATATTTAAAGAACTCATAAAAACATCTTGAAAGCTGAAAACAACATTATTGAGGAATTTTTTATATTATAATTATTTCTTTTTTATTTCTTAATTTTTTTTGTGATCATCTATCATGATTGGAGAATGATATTATTTATTAATTTTATTTTATGTTTCTAAAATACTCAATTAAGGTTGGGATGTAGCCAACTAAAGAGCTTGTTTCCACTTTTTTTTGATTATATGCATTTATATTTATACATATATTTTTATTTTTTTAATTATATCTACTTCTCTATTTAATCAAATTACAGGTAATCTTTATGAATAGGGAGGTGATGAACAGAGAACTTAAATTTATAAAAATAGACATAAATAATTAGGTTAGGGATAGTTATAAAAATTTGTGATGAATTAAAAGTTAAAACTATAAATTCATGGTTTAATTAGTTGATAGGGCATTATTGTAAGAACAAATTCAACACTAGCTAAAAAATGATTAATAATTTGGGATAATATTATGATATTTTAAGAATAGCTACCATTATAATTTATTAAAGAATCAATTTAAATAGTAGAAAGTAGTGACTGGTCGGCTTTCCTTGTCTTTATTTTTCCCTTATTTTTATTTTTTATACATTTTATCGAATAATTTATTTCATTCATTTCACCTATTTGAATTGGTAAAAGCACAATCTCAATCTCTCAGGGAGACTTAAAATATTCTGAGCAATTAATTATTGTGATCCCTATGCTTACGGGAATGATCAAGAGACTTAATTAAAAGGTCGGCCACAAAGCACATGAAAACATTGGAAAAGCATATCTTATTATTAATTTGATTAGATGTACTTATTATGTCATAGTTTATAAGACACTTTTTAAATAAAAATTAACATATCAATAAAATTGATTAAACGCTAGTCAAAAAAATAAAATTTATTAAATACTCTTATTTGAAATCTTATTCTTTTAAAACACAAATATAAATTTTCTAAAATATTATTCATTTAATATAACTTTATATATGAAATACTGCTAAATAGAAAGAGAGAATGCAATAAAAAGGAAAGGATAATATTTAAACAATTATAATTAATACAACCTTATTTTTAATCAAACTACCTTTTTTTTAACCAAGGATAATATCTTATTAATATATACACCAGTATTCAAAAGGCCAATTCCTGCTCAGCTTCTTGGCACATTCAAGCCCCTCCTCTGGTCGTTTTGGAAATATTGGATTTGAGAATCTAGAAATGGAGTAGGTCCGCACACACAAACGTTTGGTAGGACTTTTCACCTGGATTAGGTACTTTCATGTAATTAATCAAGTGCCACGCATCGAATTACCATCCTTAATTATTTGTAGAGGGCTCAGAAATTCTGATATATCTTGCCTTTTTCCTCGGTCACATTTAACTCTCTTAAGACGCTTTTTTAAAAAAAAAAAATTATGATAACTCTCTTAAGACTCTTACCGTAGACTAAAATGAAGACTTTTTTCCAAAGAGATAATCATCACTACTATAAATTAGAGAAATCGTTCGAGCATATTGACGCATACATAGATTGAATATGATGAACCTCCAGATTTATTACTCTCTCATTCTTCTTCTGTACATAATCCATTCATCCACCTCTACATCCACACACATGCCATCTCTTGATAACTACTTGATTGCTTGCGGTTCTTCTCAAAACATTACTCATCATGGTCGAACTTTTCTTCCTGATTCTCAACATCCCTCTGTTAGATCTGATTATGAACATTCTGATTCTCTATCTAATTCTTCTATCTCTGTCTCTCCGATTTACCAATCTGCAAGAACTTTCACAGCCTCAGCTTCTTACAACTTTGACGTCAACCACAAGGGCTGGCATTTCATCCGACTCTACTTTCATCCTCTTTCTGAACGGTTAGCTTCTGTCTCATTCAGTGTCGTCACTGAAACCCACGTTCTTCTTGATAGCTTTAGATTCAACACTTCTGATAATAAATCTTACTCATCGTTCAGGGAGTATGCGATATATGTGAATACTAACCTTTTAATCCTCACTTTTGTTCCTTCTAGCGATTCCGATATTGCATTTGTGAATGCCATTGAGGTTCTTTCTGTCCCAGACGAGGTATTCTCTTTTAATCATACCTTATCTTTCCCAATGTTCAAAGATGTTTCTCTTGAAACCATGTACCGCTTGAACATGGGAGGTCCCTCTTTTGTCCCTTGTCAAAATGACACTCTTTTCAGAGTTTGGGAAGAGGACGATAAGTACCTCAAGCACAATCCTTCAGCTCTTAATCTTTCTGTGAACCCACACTCCGCAAAAGCCTTTCAAAAAAACATGTCAAGCGCGTCCAATTTGACTTGGGTCTTCCCTGTCAATCCAAAGTTCAAATACATTCTGAGAATTCATTTCTGCGATATGATTAGCAAGTCCAGAAACAGCTTGTTTTTCAACGTGTACGTAAATTCTGATCTTGTCATGAAAAATCTAAATCTATCAGCATTTACTCATGATGTTGGCGTTCCATACGTCATCGACTGTGTCACCAATATCACTTCTGAAGATTCAGATACATTATTGAGTGTCACTGCCGAAGCTAGCGGCTTTGATCATCAGAGCCTTAAAGCTACGTTGAACGGGCTAGAGATTATGAAGATGAGAAACGCCATGAGAAGCTTGGATGAGCTGTCCTCTCATGATAATAATATAACTCCAAAAAAGTCAGCTTTGAAAATCCCAAAAGTAGCAATAATCCTCTTGAGCAGTTGCATGGCTGCTGCTTCTTTGTTCGTAGGTGCTTTTTATTATTGTCGATGCCTAAGAGCTGGTAGTTCCAAATCCAATAACGGAAATGTAAGACTCAGAATATTCACTTTCCAGGAGATTCAAGAAGCAACCAACAATTTCGATGAGAGATATCATATCGGAAATGGTGGTTTTGGGAAAGTGTTCATGGGACATCTCAAAGATGGTACGAAGGTTGCGATCAAGAGAGCAAACCCTCAATCCAATCAAGGCATTGCCGAGTTCCAGAACGAGATCAAATTCTTATCGAAACTTCGTCACCAAAATCTCGTCTCTCTTCTCGGATACTGCTACGAGGATAAGCAAATGGCTCTGGTTTATGCCTACATGGCAGGTGGGTCTCTCAACAGCCATCTCCACGGGGAAAACGTCGTCGTTCCACTGACATGGAAGCAAAGGCTTGAGATTTGCATAGGAGCTGCAAGAGGGCTTCATTATCTTCACACTGGAGCTTCTCAAAGCATAATCCACAGAGACGTGAAGTCAGCGAATATTCTGTTGGATGAGAACTTTGTTGCCAAAGTTTCAGACTTTGGGATCTCACGGAACGGCCCATCTTCTGATAAGTCCCACGTGAGCACTATTGTGAAGGGAAGCTTTGGCTACTTAGATCCTGAGTACTTCAGAACGCAGCATTTAACAGAGAAATCAGATGTGTTTTCATTTGGAATGGTGCTTCTGGAAGTTCTATGTGGGAGGCCTGCTCTGAATTGTTCTCTGCCAGACGAAGAAAAAAATTTGGCAAGCTGGGCATTAAGCAAAGTCGAAAACGACGAGTCGTCGCTGCAAGAGATAATAGAGCCGAGTCTAATTGGGAAGGCGAATCATGAATCTTTGAAGGTGGTGTGGGAATTGGCTAACATGTGCTTGGAGCGAAGGATCAACAGACCAACAATGGGATACATCATGTTATGCTTGCAAGATGCTCTTTACCTTCATCTCAGTACAGAAAATGAAGCCTAGCTAGTAGCTACTGAAGAAATTGAATTCGTCTTCGTTAATAGTCCAGTTAATTAAATATTGTTGTTCCAGTACGAGTGTGTTTGTGTAGGGTTGGTCATTGATTTGAATTTTTAAATATGGGATGGCCGGTCAGTTGGTTAATTGATAATGTTCATGCATGCATGTACAGAAGGTGTATATAACTTCCTTAATTACTGGTTGCGTCTTTTAAATTAGCAACCATGTGTGAGTGCTGTTAATATGTGATGTTTAACTTGTAATTAATGGTAAAAAAAGTCAATTTTATGTTCTCTAATCCCATTTACCGGATGCATCTTATTATCTGATATATATATATATATATTGAATCTTGTAAATATATATGAAGAGCATTAATTTATATATGATTAGAAAACTATATTACTTTTTAAATATGCATGATTTAGAAATGATATATGATCATGTAAACAACTTCAATTAGTTATTAAATAAAAATGAATTAATATATCAATATATTATACAAAAATAAATTAAATGACAGTATATATTATTGTTGGAGTAAATTGGCTCAATGGTCATGGAAAATACAATTTTCATAAATTATGAATGAGGTTTTTGAATATTTTAAAATATAACTCATTCACTAAATTAATTAGAGGTTTTTTTTTTATTCACAGAACAAATACATTATTAAAATGCTTTACATAAATTGATTCATGAATATATTTCTCATAACTAAGTAAATGATTTTAACTCTGAATTAACTAAATCAAATTCTTGTACACACATTCATCATATTTCTCTCCTTTTCACAATAATTCTTTCCCTTTCTTGGTGGGCGGAGGAACCAAGGTGATATTTATATGTTGCTTTCTCATTGTCACACTCTTTTGCAAGAGATATCCCCAACATGACTAGTTCAATTTTGTGCCTCTGTAAGTGAGTCTCATTACTAGGCTTCCTTGTGTGAAAATGAATATAAGCCTAAAACTTTCATTATAGAGAGGTATTTGATTTTCTGTGATAATTTAAGATGTCTAGAATTTTTTACAGCCCATATTTGATCTGTTTTGAGCAAATGATTTTTTTTTTTTTGAGTTTTTGATCCACAATATTTTATCAATAATATACAAATAAACCATATTAGTGAAAAATTATCAACACTATTTAATCTTATAAATATGAAAATGCTTAATCTCATCATTTCTTATGATAAAAAATGAGATTTATTAGTTTAAGTATTTAATTTTTTATGGTAAGCGAAGATGTCCAAGATGTCCAAGATTTTTTTACTAACCGTGTTTAATCTATTTTGGATAAATAATTATGTTTTTTTTATGTTTCTGACTTACAATAGTATATCAGTGATATATAATTGTATATTACTAATAAACCATATTAGGAAAAAATTATCAATATCATTTAATTTTGTAAATACAAATATGCTTAATCTTGTTATTTTTTTTTTGAAAGATGGTCAAATACAGCTCTCTTTCATCTTTAAGTATTTAAAAGAAGGTTTTTGTCCAAAAAATATATTTAAAAGAAGGTCATATTATTTGCAAAGAGGATAATTTTATCATATAAAGCTCAACTAAATATGAAAATGATTATAACATAAAATATAACAAATGTTAGGTAATTTATTAGGTTTGGTTTATAACATGAATTATACATGTGAAAGCTCTTTTGTTGTTGGTCAGCACGGATCCTGCGTTTGTATGGGGCTGATCAAAAAATAATAATAAATCACCGGTAGTATTCCAAATTTAAACTTAAACTTAAGGAGGGTTACACTTTACAGTTAATTTGCAAATCCAATAAATTTCAGTTTGTGCCCAATAATTTTGTTTCCCGATCATTTTGTGCAATTTCGTCCACTAATTAACTCCGCACGTCTGAGATGTTAAAATGTTATTTCTGTTACGTTTGAACAGCTTTCAATATTTTAAAAAAATATATCTGACAATGGTCAATATCTACATAATAGCTCAATTAAGTTGGGATATTTACTTCTACCAAAAAAGAAAATTGGGACATTTACCGATTCTGTCAAAAAATAATCAATTAGAACATTATTTAAAATACGTGTCAAGCTAAGTTAATTGAGTTTTACTGAGTCAAGTAATTAATTATTTTTGGACAAAGAAAAATAGTCAAATAACTGTTAAATCCCTAATAAATTTGGAGTTTTAGTTAGCCCAGATGAAAAGGTTTAGCTGCCTCCACCAAAACGTGAAACCAAACAACCGCAAATATATATCAAAGCTATTGGTCCAATTATATATACTATATAGATTAATATGCTAACTCCAGGTTATGCAAATTAAAAAATAAAAGATATAATAAATTGAATATAAATCTCAAAGTAAATAATTTAACTTTTCTTAGGATATTGTAATTGATAAATTAAATGAGTTAATCCACTTTTAACAAGAAAAATCATCTATAATATCCCATAAAAAAGATAATTACAAAGCCATCTAAAACTAGCTCAGAAGATTAAGGTGAGGTGAGAGGTGGGTAAAAGTAAGAGGTTGCGTTCTTTGTTAGTGTATCAAAAGAACGAGTTAAACAATAAATGAGTCCATAAATTTTAAATTTAGAAATGTAAGTTTGCAATCTTAGGCTCTTTTTTTATACAATATTTTTTTTTAATTTTAAAAATAGTGCAATCTAACTTATACCCTTAATAAATATTAATTTTAACGATTAGTTGATAAAAAAATTACATAAAATAACATCAAAAATTACAAAAAAAATCCAAAATATACAGAAAATTACCACAAAAATTACCCACAAGGACAAAGAAATTTTTTGTTTTGGCTTATTTTTTGTAATTTTATAGTTAATTAATAGTCAAAGTTAATATTTATTAACGATAAAGATTAAATTGCACTGTTTTCAAAAGTTGAAGGAAAACATATATAAAAAAAGAGGCTAATTAACTATTTATCCTTGAAAGAAGAGATAATTTACATGTAGGTTCATCAACATTAATGAGATATAATAATTTTGTTTTAATTTGTGGTTTTCCTTTCCTTAGTTAATTTCTCGGTACTTTCATGCCTCGTTTTGGTCTTGTTTGGTTTGTAAAATCAGGAATATAAAATGCGAGGAGATATACATTTTAGTTTGACTTTTTAGGATATCTATCACATATTCAAATTGCTTTCACTTTGAGTTTGAAATAATGACCATTCAAGCCTACTTGAGCCGCCCCGCCACCCCTCCACCCCCATCTTTTCTTTTCCCCCTCCCCTTCACGTTCGGACAATACATGACTTTGGCTTGATCTAAACTCTGATCTCTTCTATAAAAAAGATTAGATAACTCATAATTTGGTTTAGTTTAAGTTTAATTTAAAGTTGAATAAGATCAAACTTGATTCATAAAAGTTGAAGACTAATCTTGATAGTCTAGTACTCTATTTTACATTTTTTTCTCTTTTGCTCTATAAGAGGAAATAATTCATTTCAACTTGATAAATTCAATTAAAATAACAAAAATACTTATACTTATAATCATATAAAATTTATTACAAAGCATTGACAGCTAATTATTATAAATCAATTTATTTTATCACACTATAATTATAATTATATTAAAGCAGCTATTACTATATTAAAATAATTATATGAAATCGGACCAAATCAAGTGGTCTGAAAGTTCAATCTTTTGTTCAGTCCAATCCAAAAATAAAGTCTAATCTTATTGGATTTTTAGTCCTTTGGGTCAATTTTTTTATAAGACTCGACTAGATTTGATTTGTTTAGGTTTGATCAAGTTGTACAAGACTATAAGACTTTTGCACAACATAACCTTCACATGTGTCTCTCCATTTTCTACATTTATCAAATTTTGGTGCATTCATTTTTTGTGCGTATTTTATCAAATATTTTTAAAAAAATTTCTCCTGAACTATTCATATCATGCATTTTTTATTTGCTAAAAGTTCATTTGGTGAAAGTTTGTCTAACAAAAGTCAATTGTTGTAATGAAATTTATATTTAAATATATTTTTTAAGTATTTAAAAAATGTGATTAAGATTTTAAATAACATAAAATTCAATCTATAATACTAAAAACTTGATATCTAGTCATCTATACCTTTTTAATTTGTAATTTTAAAAAATATGATAAAAATTTGTAATTTTTATTATACATTAATGCTAAAAATTAACATAATTAATTATTCAATTTATAATGCTAAAAACTTGATACCTAATATTATTATTAAAATGATAATTATAATTTTAATGAATTAACTATTTTTTAAATAAAAGAATAAGAGATTAAATTTGAAGTAGTATAGTCAAATAACATCCCACTTTTCAAAAGTTTTAAATAGTTACATTTTTCAGATCTACTTCCAGCCGCTGTTTAGTTGTGCTTTTAGAATGTAATTTTTTACAAAATATTTTACCCAAATAATATAATTTTTAACATCCTAAAAATAAAATATTGCTCTCTGAATGTGAAAAGTAAGATTTTCAAATGGACCCGTCGTTGAAAAGCTTTTTTTTATTTGGGAAACCTCAAGTTAAGGTCTAATCTTAGGTTTGTCATCATTTTTGATATGTAAACTTTACTCTAGATGATTTTTTTAAATAAGAATATTTATGTGAATATATTTTAAATTTCAATTTCATTAAAGCCCCTCGAAACTTACATGATATATTTTATCTAATTCAAGGAACTTTACTTAAATGAATTTCCTCACATGGAACTATTTAACGTCATTCTCTTTTTTTAAGGGTAAATAAGTAAACCATCTCTTAAACTTTAGGTCCAATAGCACTATAGATTTCAAACTTATTTGTTATGTAAATTATTTTTTTAATTTTGAAAAACGATGCAATCTGGCCTAGCCATTAATTAAATTTAATTTTAACTGTCAGTTAATCATAAAATAATAAAAAATAACTTCAAAAATTATAGAAAAGAACAAAAAGAATAAAATAAAGGATCCAAAAAAATTACAAAAAATAATCCAATTTTTTTTGTTGCTTTTATGTAATTTTTCAAATCTTTTTTTTATCATTTTTAAGTAATTAATGATTAAAGTTAACTTTATTAATGACAGGGCCAAAATATATCATTTTCAAAAGCCAATTTAAAGATGATATTATTGGATCTAAAATTTAAAGATGTTTACTTACCCAATTTTTAATATTCTTGGTCTGTTTTTTGGTTACAATAAAGCAGCAGGCTGAAAGCTCAACCTTTGAAAGGCCTCTTGGGCTTGATGGACTTAGAAAATGGAAATAACATTGACTGGATCCAGGCTCAGGCCCATTTCTTCGTTTTTCGGTTTTGAGTTTCACGCGCTCAACAGTCAACAGAACGGCATATAATCTTTCCCTCTTGATTCTTGAACCTTGGTTTTGTTGACCTCTTTACCCTTCACGAGTTCGCCTCTTGCTTGCTTCTAACCCGGAAATAAAATAAATAAATAAATAAATAATAAAATAGAGTTCGCCGGTCGGGTTAGAGAACGTTCGCATCCAATGACTGTAAGCCCTCTTCTCGTTGTCGCATTCCTGGTTTTCTTTCTCTTTTCAACTGTCTTCGTATGATTTCTCAGTGGTTCAACTGTGCCCATTGAATGTTTGTTTGATCTGTTCTTGCGGGGAGGAATTTAGGATACTGTGATCGGTTTCTGCAGAAAAATGCTGAAAAAGATATGCGCATTTAATTACGCAGTGATGAGTTAAAAGTTGGTTTTGTTCGTTTGGTGGACTGAGAATACAACTTCGACTTTTGGTGGATTTTCTTTTGCTGACATCTAGTTTAGGATGGATTGGTAGAATTTTAAAGGGTTGTGAAGTTAAGCACGTCACTAGGGCAGGAACTGTGGTTCTTTTCATTTCTTTTTTGGAAACCTAGATTGGAATTATGGAAACTCCATCTTCTCAGGGATCCATTTCAAAGCGGGCTTTAAGAAGGAAATCTAATTTGCGGAACTATGATGAGAATCTGATGGATGAATTGTTTGAAAAAGAGTTAGGCGGTGGTTTGAAAAAGAAGAGTAGGACTAAAGAAGATATAGAGAAGGAGACTGAAACTGAGGCCATGATTGCTTTTTCTCTTGGGTTTCCAATCGATGCGCTTCTTGAGGACGAGATTAAAGCTGGGGTTGTGAGACAATTGGGTGGAAAGGAGCAGAATGATTATATCGTTATAAGGAATCATATATTAGCTAGATGGAGAAGTAATGTAAGGACGTGGTTAGCCAAAGGGCAGATAAGAGAAACTGTTAGCAGTGAGTGTGAACATTTGATAAACTCTGCTTATAATTTTCTTTTGTATAATGGGTACATAAATTTTGGAGTTTCACAGTCAATCATTTCTCAGATTCCTGAGGCATCCGAAGGGTCTGTAATTATTGTAGGTGCTGGTCTTGCTGGGTTAGCAGCAGCAAGGCAGCTCATGTCATTTGGTTACAAGGTAGTAGTACTAGAAGGTAGGAACCGGCCTGGTGGAAGAGTATATACTCAAAAGGTGGGACTTGAGGACAAAGTTGCTGCCATGGATCTTGGTGGGAGTGTTATTACTGGCATTCACGCAAATCCTCTTGGAGTTTTGGCTCGGCAGCTTTCTATACCACTTCATAAGGTCAGAGACAATTGCCCTTTGTACAAGCCAGATGGAGCACCAGTTGACAGGGCAATGGATTCAAGTGTTGAATTCATTTTCAATAAATTGCTAGACAAAGTTATGGAATTGAGGCAAATTATGGGTGGATTTGCTAACGATGTCTCTCTAGGATCAGTCCTGGAGACACTCAAAATGCTGTATGCTGTGGCCCGAAGTACTGAGGAGAGGCAACTATTGGATTGGCATCTGGCAAATTTAGAGTATGCAAATGCTGGATGTCTGTCAAATCTGTCAGCTGCCTATTGGGATCAGGATGATCCTTATGAGATGGGTGGTGATCACTGCTTTCTTGCCGGTGGTAATTGGAGACTGGTAAAAGCTCTATGTGAAGGAGTTCCTATTTTTTATGGAAAGATTGTCAATGGTATTAAATATGGAAATGACAGTGTTGAGGTTATTGCGGGGGGCCAAACCTTTCAAGCAGATATGGTGTTATGCACTGTGCCTCTTGGAGTTCTAAAAAAGAAGACCATCATTTTTGAACCTGAATTACCAGCAAGAAAGCTGGCAGCTATAGAGAGGCTGGGGTTTGGGCTTCTGAACAAAGTTGCAATGGTTTTTCCTTATGTGTTTTGGGGGGAAGATCTAGACACATTTGGGCATCTCAATGAGCATAGTCATCAACGGGGAGAATTCTTCTTATTTTACAGTTACCATACTGTTTCTGGAGGTGCAGCACTCATTGCACTGGTGGCTGGCGAAGCTGCACAAGCCTTTGAATTTACAAATCCATCCATTTTGCTCCATCGTGTTTTGACCATCCTCAGAGGTATCATAAATTATAATGCTTTATGGCTCAGCAACAAAAGATTAGATGCCCCTTTGTACCACCTCTTTATTTATTGAATTTTTTGGATTTTAGAGTTTTTACTCAGTCTTCCTTATCAATTCACGTGTTTTATCTGTTTCTGCAGGTATATATAGTCCTAAAGGTGTCATTGTGCCTGATCCGATACAGACAATTTGTACAAGATGGGGCAGCGATCCTTTTTCTTATGGTTCATACTCTCATGTCAGCGTGCACTCATCTGGCAATGATTATGATATACTCGCTGAAAGTGTTGGAAACCGGCTGTTCTTTGCTGGTGAGGCCACAAGTAGGCAATATCCAGCCACAATGCATGGTGCTTTCTTGAGTGGCTTGAGAGAAGCATCTCGCATTTACCAAGCAACTCATTTTCGACAGAATAATTCTAGAAAATACATGTCGAAGAATATTGGACCGCACAATGATATATTGGTAGATCTATTCAAGAAGCCTGATCTGGAGTTTGGGAAGTTTTCTGTATTATTTGATCCTTCATCAGAAAACCCTCAGTCAAAGGGGCTTATGCAAATCACTTTTGGGAATGCTGGAGAGAATTACAAGGATGAGTTACCAAGTTACTATCTGAATACCACAAAGCTGCCAGTGCAACTTTATACTATTGTATCTCGTGAACAGGCATACCACCTTCAGATAATTACTGGAGGGGATGAAAATAGGTTGTCATATTTGATGAAAAGCCTTGGCTTGAAGCTTATGGGGTCCCATGCTTTAATTAATGATTGCAACTCTTTGGTAGCTACTATTGCTAGCTCCCGAAGAGGCAGGGGAAGGAATCGCTAACTTAAGTGGGCCACACCATATCCTTCAGTGATTTTAGTTTCTGCATGCGAGCATGCCAGATGATTTTCTTGTGCCAGGCCTATATAAGATTCACCAAGTAGGTTATTGGTTTGTTATGGGAGATATAAGTTTTTGCAAAGGTTTTGACCAGAGATGATTTTATGCCTGAGGGCAGTCTTGGGTCTCGTTGACTTGTTAGCTGTATCATATAGCCATAGCATAGATCAATTATGTAACTGTAAGAGAATTTTGAGTCTGTTGAAGGCTTTTTACTAGCAGTTTATTGTGACAGGAGGGATGGTTCAGTACACTGGAGTGGTACTGGACCAAACCATTGTATCATTTATCAAATTCTTGAGCTCAAATCAGATAGACATTAATATACACCCCAACACTGTATTGCTCAAAATTCTATGTTCATGTGTGCATGCATCTTACGTCTTTCTTTAATTCTATGGTTTTAAAAAATTGGATAGGACCAGCTGATTTGACCAGAAAACTGATGAATAAGTGCTTAGTTAGGTCCAAAATTACTTGGAGATCGAGATTTTTTTTTTCCTTTCAAATACCCGTCTCTACTATTCATCATTTGAACCAGCCATTTTGTGGGGGAACTTTTATATATATTTTTAGACTTAAACCAAGTTTCTAAACCATGTTTTGTATATCTAAGCTTTATACAGGCAATAAGAAAGAAAAGCTGGTAAGCAAATGGTAATAAGTTTGTATGTATAAAATCATAAATTATAAAACAAGTACATGCTAAAATGGTGAATCGTGCTTGGTATGATCTGAAATCGAGGTAAAATTAGGGACTAGTTTAGAAGTGGTTAAAAATTTAAACTATATTTCCAAGCTGTGTTTTCTATATGCCTATAGCTTATATAGTAAAGAAGAAAAGTTGAATTGATAAGCAAATAAGCAAGAAATATGTATATATATTATAAAATTGTAATAAATTATATAATGAATATATGCATTACAAATATATTTTAAGTGAATCCCCTGAGCACTACTAAGCAGCAAACATTACACCAAAGCATAATCTTTCAATATCAGTTCCACGGAAGAGGTTTTTGTATATCTACAGAAAGATTCTTGAGAAAGTTCAGCAATTCACGAAAGGGGACAACATGAAAAAAACAAAGATACAAAAAAGTAATAATAATAAATCAGATAGTTCAGTACTTCAGCTCTTCTGCTTCTATAGGAAAATCAGATTTTGCATGATCAAGAGCCTAAGGCTTTCCTTCGTTCATAAGTCAGTGCACTCTCTGCAATTGCAGTTCAAAAATCGGCACTTGAGACAGCCAGTACAGTTACAATACTTGCAGCCGGGGCACTGCTTGACAAGCGGACAACCTCGGTACATCTTTCGATTGTCTCGCTCTTCCTCATCCTCACAGGTTATTCTAAAACACGAGAAATTCTTATATCTATCAGCAAGCATAAATGCATACGAAGTATCGATTTGGTCTTTTAGAGTCTTGTTATTGATATAGCTATGAGTGTGAAGTCAAAACTGTGTGACAGACATCACGCATCGAAACATAAAATGATGTAATAACCTAATAAGGTAGACACATTTTTACCTCCTTGTCATGTAATTTTTCTGGTGGTCCCATGTTTAAAATAGCACACGTATTACAAAACTGATAGTCTCTGTTACCCCCAGTATATTGTCGCTGTTGAATAAAAGGGATGACAAAAACCATACAAATAAAGGACGCAAACAGAGAATGAATGAATGATACTCTGTTTGTCAAGTTCAATCAACCTTATAACAATACAAAGGTGGTTTATATAAATACAGAATTTGTCCTTCTGTGAGCACTGTTAGCGAGCCACCAATTTGCACATCTATTAAGTTCTCGGTATATATTACCGAAGCTTGACGTTCCAATCTGAAGCTATCAGATTATATTCCTAATTTCATCAGTCATATGTATGCTGATATGTTTAAATCACTATAAACATTAGTAATGGTAGCTAGATATCGCACAATATATAATTAGCTAATAGTAAATTGTTATTCAGCTAACAAATAACCACTAACTACGTATTATATTCATGTAACATAACAAGTGCAAGGGATGCTTCTAATTGAGCTTTACTGTTTATTCTAACAAGCTTACGTGATTGTGGAAGTTGAGAGATATACATGTCAGATGAGATGCGGAACCTGAATAGCTTGTTAATGCCATACAACCAGCTTGTTTCTTATCTTCTCTCTCTGGCTCTCTCCCTTTGGCCGGGGGAGCATCCTTAAGGGGAGAAGAACACAGCTGGCTACCCAATGGTTTCAATTTTCAAGTTGAATTTATGGGTCTTTTCTACTAATATATCTCTTATCCAACTCAACTCCATCTAACGTGGATTTTTTTTTTTTTTTTTCAGTACCAAGCAAGTGAACTCACACTTCGGCATCCCAACATTTCTCTCTATAAAACCTATTACATGATCATGGAGATGAGAGAGATAAATTAAACTTACTTATCATAGGGCCAAAGAGAGCATTCCCAAGTAGTGTTGTTCACGGCATCATGGTAGTCCTTAATCTGCTTCATGGTGCGACGACGAAACCTGCGTTGTTTGTGGCAGTTGGAACAGCGAATGAAGAGATCATTATGGAACTTGTTGTTGCGACTCGCATGCTTGATCCAGTTAGCCGCATTGGCCTTGTGATTGTAGTATTTCATTACTTTCGACTTTCCCAGAGCCAGCCTCTCTCCTGTGTCTTCCACTTGAACCCATATGCTGCTTGTCCACTTCCTCCCCTTCACTTCCTTCATCCCACCATGCTTCTCAAATTCCTTTGGAGTCACATCCACTGCAATATTCACACCAACTTTTTGGATTATTCTTCAGTACACAGACAATTAAACGATGAAACATGCAAGCATGCATTTCCCACAATGTTTTCTGTTCATTCATGCATGAAAAGCTGATATATACTTCATGCACATTCGGGAACCTCACATATATAATAGGAGAGGTTTATGAGTCCGATGTAATATGTATTATCAAAATTTCACCAGAAAAAGGATGTTTATAAGCATGTCAATCTTTTAGAATATGTTTTTCTTTTAGACTTGTGCCTATAACATGAATATTTTCATTGAGAGATCAGGAGAAGAACATTGACATGAGTTGTCCCATGTTGGGAGCCTCACGAAGAGAGTGGACTTTATAATGAGTCCATGTATCTGTATATGTGATTAGTTTTTAATTTACCAAAAGTCCATTTCTCAAGTAAAAGTCAATTTTTATAAGTTCATTTATGAAAAGTTTATTTGCATTTGAATATATTTTTTAAAAGCCATTTTGAAAAATTGAAAGTTATTTGAATAAAAGAATCAGATTGAAATTAGCTCCTAATCTGGCTACATTGCAAAAGTTATTGGCTTTTCAGAGTTAATGGATTTTCAATTGGATCTCAAATGTACTTTCAAATCAACATAGTAAATACCCCAAACAACATTTATGTTCAAATGACCTGTTAGTACCTTTTAAATGAAAAAAAGTTATATCTAAACATTTCCTATCTAAGCAAATAAAGTTATAAATATCCTTATAAGTATTATATGAACTTTGATAAGTTTTTGAAATTTAACTCATCTAAAAAATTTCTCTGATTTTTAGAGAGGGAAAATGAGAAAAAGGGTGGGGTGGGGGAATTATTGCCTTTTTCGCAGCCTTGATGACATTGACAAGTGATCAAGAATTGACCATTGGCTTCGATTCTAAGTTTGCCACCAAAGTCTCCATATTTCTTGTTGGTGAAGCCACATCCAACTTCCACATAATTCAATCCTTTCTCATATCCTCTTATACCTTTCAGCTCTTCTTCATTGAATCTCTTTCTTTTACTCTTCCCCACCGTTCTATTTCCCTTTCCTGTTCATTTCATTAATTCACAAGTTAACCAAAAAAAACATAAAATAATAAAGAAAATTGTGCTATATAATGTTTTTGGCTATGATGTTTAAAGTTTTGAGATACCAAAGTGATGATTAATTAATTAGTGGCTAGGTATTAAAAATTAAAATTGCTCCCTTACAAATGATATGAGGTGTCTAGCTAACTTCTAAATTATTAATTTGCTAAAAATAATTATGATTATGATATTTATTATACAGGAGACAATATCCAACCTACAGATTTTCTCTGCACAAATGAAAGGAATTAAACGATACAACAATTTGAAAAAAATGTGTCTTGCATCAACATAAAACATATATCACTAACTAGAAATTTCAGATCTAGAAGTATTAAGGGAGAAAGATACGCATAACATTAGATCGCAGGCAATTATATGAAATATAGGGTCCGAAAAATGTGTATCACCTCAAAATTGTTTAAACTTTAGGGGAGAGAAGAAAGGAATAAGTCGATCTACATGATAATAAGTAAAAATTAATGAATAAAAAAAAATTTATTCATACGGTAATCGTACAGTGCTGAAAGTTATAAGCTTATCAATTATATACATGACATGTCACTCTTTAGTTGAAATTGTGTTAGAAACCATGAAGAAAATAAGTCGAAAAGGAGTCCAAATCACCTCGCAACATTTCAATATTATTGAGCTGTTTTAAGAATCTCTTCTATCTCTTATCCTTATCGATTCATTCATTTTTTTCCCAAATACTCCATTTTAGGGATTCGATGGATTCGGTTCTTACAAATTGAGAGCTTAAACTAAGCAGTCGCACCGTTCCTTTTAAATGAAAATAATATTAATTTATTTATGAAATTATACATGTCTATTAACATTTTCATTTTTAAATAATAATTAATAATTTTTGTTACATTACTTATGTGTTAAAGCCACGTGTCAAAAGAGAATATCAAAATTAGATATTTTTTGTAATAACTATGCTGGATATTTTACTTGGATAACATTGTATAGTGTATAATTTCATACTCTCTTAATAATATTAATTACTCTAGGACTTAATCAATTACTCCCTTCGTTAAAAAATATAAGATATTTTTTAAAGAGTTGGATGTTAAAAAATATAAAGTATTTTTAGTTTTTTGAGGTGTAATCATTGACTTTTTTTCAAAAGTGTCTCTATTGATGAATAACTTTATATTTATTGTAAAGTATTTAATAGGAGTAAATATAAAAAAATGAGATTAGTTAAAAAGTAGGTAAGTATTTTATTGAGAGTGTGATTTAGTTAAAAATACCTTACATTTTTTAATAGATGTAGTAATATTTTAAAATCAAATCATTCATTTCATTTGACTCGAAAACACCCGCAATAAAAAAGTACTTAAGATATAAATGTGAATGTTCATTAATTTTTATTTGATGGTACATTAATGAATTAACTAGTTTAATATGTTAGAATTTTTATATTAAATATGCTTAAAGATAGTATATTTTATCAAAATAACTTAAGTTATTTAATTAATACTTCTTAAATTTATATGTTTATTATTTATTTTTTAATATTTAGATGTGAGACTTTCTTTTATCTTTTTATATAACATTTGGCCAAATATATATATATATATATATATATGGGGTCAGTAGCCGATCTTGCCATACATTCTTTGACATTAAATTGAAATAAATCAATACATAAATAAACATACAATGTTTGACATTAAGATGAATTTCTTTTTTAATTTCATTACCGGGTGAAAAACTTGAAGGTATTAATATCTCTCATCTAAACTAATCCAAACTCTTATCATGTGAGATTGTTAATAGTAACAGTGGTCTCACAGTACTTTCAGATGTCTTTAACATATTTATTTAATATTAAAATTAATTTTAAGCAATATTCCATATACAACAAGAACAAGAGACAGCAGTACAACAATATTAACTAGCGTTGAAAATTAAACCTAATGATTAAAAAAGAGTAAGGGGAGAGTAAGAGAAGGACTTGGATCGATATTTAAGTGATTAAAATTTAATATTTTATTAAAAAATTTTATTTTTTATTACAAATATAATATGCTCTACTAGTAGTTTGAATTTATTTTTCTATTTTATTATAATTTAGCATTTATTAGTAGTGAAAAATTAATATCAATATTATTATTTTTTTAGGTGAAAACTAGATATTTCATTCAATAAAAAATGTGTACAAAAGAATATATAGCTACATATAAACTAAAAAGCAAAAACCAGAAGCCACCTCAATCAAGTTATGGGATGTTAGTCATATAAATTAAAATAATTAGTAAGACTAAAAGCTAACTTAGCTAGGTAATCAGCCATCCTATTATCATCTCTAAACAAACAATGAAATTGGACATCTCGATCCCTATTCAAAAGTTAATTTTTTGGTTGAATTAATAATATGTTGAAAAGAATAATAATTACAGTTATCGCTTGTGATTATAGAAATGACATTTGCACACCCACAAAAAGCCTCCACAATCTCAAAACATTTCTTCCAACAAATTTTAAGACCTTTGCTTTGAGAATATCACAAGTTTCAAAAATAGTAGACGACAGTTTACCTAATTTGCAATTAAAACTCAAAATCCAATCTCTAGTAGTATCTTTCAGAACATCTCCATGAGCATTATTCCAATTGGAAAGAGTTGAACCATTTGTTTCTAGTCGAATAGCGCAAGAATTCTTGCGAAGCTAATGATTAACCTGCCTTAAATGAGTATGTGAAGGTAATACTTGTTTCAAATTCATATTAGCTACTACTTTGAAAAAAGTAGTTAGGTTACCCAAATATCTCCCTCTTGAAAAATATATCTACACCGATCTTTCTAGATGTCCCAACATATGTAAGCAAAGAGGTTGTCCCAATGTACATTTTGAACAAAAGATTTGCCTGTAAATGTCCCAACATATGTAACCAATCTAAAATTTGTCCCATAAATCTGGTGATGAACTCTCTCCACTAATGTTTGGCATGTCTGCAATCTTGAAAGAGATGCATCGTGTCCTCCATCTCCCTACATCCAAACGGACAAGTTTTTGTGAATGACATTCCTCTTCTTTCCCTTTGTAAATGACATTCCTCTTCTTCCCTGTAGAGCTGTTGTATAGACTCTCTCGTGTGCTGTCAACCAAGTGAGTGTCTATTTCCACACCCAACCCTTCCTTAACTCTTGGTTCCAGACTCAAAAAGTTTCCATCAGCTTTAGCTGCAGTAACCGGCTCTAGTTATAATACCAGCTCTAAGCTCCTTACATGCGGCTTCTGACATGGCTCCTGTCAACTTCAGTATTGTGATTGGGAACCTTGAGTATGAAGGAGTGGGTAACAATGCAAAACTTCCTTCTCCCTGCTTCTTTGTTAATATTTTAAATTTGAATAGTTTGAATTTGAATTTCAAATTGAACCGCCGGCATCAGAAATCGTGTCTTCACTCTCAAATACCACGGCTTAATTTATTATCCTACCATTGATCCCAGACTTCTTTCATTCATGATTCATGCTATGCAAGGCTGTGTGAAGTTAGAGATCAGCCCAATATCACATCCAAAGTTAAATGGTATTAGCGTTCAATCTTCCGGGAGTACGTCTTTTCGGTTGAGATGACCATTGGTTCTTAGTGCCGATTCTTAGTCATCTTCCTCATCCTCGTCTGCGTTGTCTTCATCCTTTCTTCTCTTCGTTTCTGAGTAATTTTTTTTTATTGTAATTTCCCTTCCCTTTCCTTTCCTCTTTCTAATAGTGGTGCCAGGACTTTGGGTGAGGGTTAATATTTTTAAAATTGATAATTTAAAAATAATTTAATAAATTTTCTTAAAAAGCATTTATGAATTTTATTATTATATTTTGCGTGACTTTATGTTTCGGAATTGTAGAGCAATTATCTCATTATCAATACTAACGAAAATATCTTTTTTAATATGAGTCACGAAATAATTATTTATCAATAGATCTTCTATATAATTCTACAATTAATTTTTTACAAACTTCATAATCGAAAATACTCTTTCCACCATTATTGTGACGATCAGTAATATAATTACTAACTTTAAGAGATCATAAATCAAGGGATAAATTATATGTCTTTTGGTTTCCACAATTTTTTTTTTTGCAAGACTACCAATTATTTTTAATGATACAAATTCAATGTTGCTTTGCAAGACTATTAATAATGTAAGTCTCAAATTAATTATCAAGTATTATTAAATTAAAGGAAGAAAACTTACATGAATAGAACTTGGAAAAATTCAATTAACCTCTCCTAATCAAAATTTTGGGTTCAAATTTTTTTTTTGGCCTCTAGTAGAACACATTTAAAATTTTTTTGGAACCCAATCTTTTTAAAGTTAGGTTAAAAGGTGTAAAATATTTAAACCCAAAGGTGCAAAGTAATGAAACAAATGACCATTCCTTATAGGCTCATAATTTTATTTGCCCCCCGAACACAACTCAGCGCCGCCCAAGCTTCCTTCCTCGAGTGCTTCACCGATGGCTGCAAGGCGTCCCTTCTCATCACCAAAATGAAGAACTCCCTCAATCTCACTTACCAGACCAGCAGGGAGCTGGTAAAGATGGGTGGGGGTCCTTACTATGACGTCGCATCGTGGCAGAAGGACGGCCTGCTGTCCAACATCTCCAAGCCAGCGAAGAGGCTTCTGGAGATGGACATGTCTATGAAGTAGATCATGTTCCAGTTCACTTCTGAACGAGCTGGGCTTGCTGTTGATGAACTACTTGATTTCTTAGTTGTTTATGATCTATAGGCATGGAGCATTAGACGATTTTTTCTCCATTTCTGGTTGGCATTGGTGCTAGTGCTAGACGTCCAACTTGAAATTTGGTTGGCTACAGGTGATGCTTCACAACTTCTAATTATATCATAATTTTTGTGCTCTTCATCTCCAGTCTTATTGTCATTACCATCCCTTTTTTTATCAGCTCCTCTCCCGTCATATTCATTTTTTTCCCCCGGAAAAATCACAATCAAGGATTGCTGAAAAAAATTAATTGCGTTGCAGGACTAAATAATTTTGATATTATTTTATATAACTAAAGGACTTAGATGTAATTAAAATTATTATCTTTTATGTATATTTGTTGTGAAGGGGAATTGATTGTTGTCAAACTGAAAATAAATTTTTTTTTTTGAATGGAGATTTATTTACTAAATTACAGCAATTTCTCTATATTAAGTTGATATTTTGTAATTGTTAATGAAGGACTTGATTATTGTTAGAATAGAAATGAAACTTTTTTTTTTTTAATAGGGACTCGTTCATCAAATCACAATACTTAATTTTTTCTATTATCAACTTAATCTTTTGGAATTATTAATAAGAAATTAATTGTTGCTAAAATGAATATGAAATTTGTTCTTTTTTTTTTTTTAATGGGGAGTTGTTAAGAGTGTGTGTGTGTGAAGGGTTTGTCCTTTCACACAAAATTTTAATTCAATTTTGGTCCATTGGTTCTACAAAATAATATCAAAATTATTTGGTCCTACATTATAATTAATTATCTCCAATAATTCTTAATTCTTATTTTTACCTTTTTTTTTCTTTGTCAATCCTTTTTGCCCCCTTTTTTTTTTTTGTCTTCTGTTCTTTCTCCATTTCTTCTTCATCTCCCGCTCATATGCATCCACGACCTTTCCGCTATTTGTCTTCTTACTGGATATGTTTTATTCTCTCAATTTGTTCTTCTCGCTATTTGTGGGTTGTTCTGATGGGCACCATGACTCATAACACAAAAGTTCCTCTTCAGCAATGTCCGGTGATAGAAATAGGGAGGCTGCTTTCTATGAGCCATTGATTGGTATGCATTCGCATCGTGGAAAAAAAAAAAAAAAAGATGAGAAAGACTAGGATATGCTGTGGGAGTATGGTGGCTATGCTATTCTCTATTAAAATAATATATTTTTTATTTTATTCCTATCAAATATTTGAACATGCCATATCACTTAATTTAAATTTATAAAAAGATTATTCATGCAGGAAGTTTAAGTGAAATCAAACTATTTTCTATTGAAATATAAAATAATAATTAAATATTTAATTTGAAAGCGTTTTATATGATAAGTATTATTCTTTCCGTTTAAAAATATAAAATATTTTTTAAAGTGTTATATATTAAAAATATATAATATTTTAAATCTTTTAAAGTGCAATAATTACTTTTTTTTTAAACGTCTCTATTAAATAGATTACTTTTTATTTTTTTTAAGGTAAAATATTTTATTAAATATAAAAAAATGAGATTAATTTAAAGATAAGTAACTATCTTATTGAGAATGGAATTTGATAAAAAAGGTCACATATTTTTTAACAAAGAAATATTTTAATAACTTTTTTAGTAAATTGCACTGCCTTTTATTATAAAAAATCTTAAAACAAGTTAACCTTGAGAAAAAAAAATCCCCGATTCTTTTACATGATTGCTATCATGAAATTTTAATTTTATTTCCAAATTTATGGGTTCTAAATTGATTGGTGTAGAAAAACAAGAATCTCTACAAATTAATAGAGTAACCATACATAGGTGTAAGTTTATATTTAATGCCCATACGCACAATGATTTTTTCTGGAGTAAATTGCAAATTTAAAGGGGTAAGTGCAATTTTAACCCAAAAAAAAATAAGTGAAAATTTTGCTGATTGGTATGAGACTGAAAATTTTGTGTAAAGAAGACAAGATGTTAAGTGAAATTATTAATATAGTGCATGAAGGAATTTTTCAGAATTTCCAACTGTCCAATCTTTTGAGTTGTTTGGCATAAAAAAATTCATATATTCTATCATTAATTAACATTTTTGAATTATAAAACATTGCTTCGCAATCATTAATTTCGTTTATTTTTTTGTGTTCAAATATATAATCCGTACAAACGCACAGGATTGTGGCTAGTTACAGGGAAAAAGAAATCGAAATCCCAGCGACCACTCAATCCAGTCTCTGCTCTCCCTTCCCGCTCCCGCCTCGAAGATGTTGGTCTCATCCTGCGCCATGTCTGCTCATCCTACACTTCCCACCAGAGCTTCCACATCATTGTCTTCCACTCGCCTTTCTGTTCCTACCGGTCTTCATTTTCGTTGCGACAGTCCCTTTGTCCCGGAGGTGCTTGTGCTTTCATTTTATGCTTTCATTATGAAGTTTCCCAGAACTCTCTCTTCTTACCGCATCATCTGATTGCTTGGAAAGAGTTTGAAGCTGAAAAGTCTATGTTTAGATGCGAAAGTTAAAATATTCTCGGTTATCTTTTTCTTCCTTTATTCATTTGCTCAAATACAAATTTGCATTTGCTGACTGGTCGGTTCTTGTAGTACCTGAAAATTATGCGAATAAAGATAGTACCGAATTTGGAAAATGCTCATTTTTTGTTTGGGCCATCTCAGAAGTTATTTCAACGTTTCCTTAAGTATTGGAAAAGTTAAATAGATGAATAGAACATGAATTCTTTAGAATTTTTGATATCATTGTATCTGTGACATAATGTAAATATAAATCTTTTGTTCAAATGTCTGAAAGTGCCTCTAGACTTTAAAGTTTTATTTAAAAAAAAAAAAAAGAGGTAGAAGGCATAGCGTATGCGTTTTGTTTCAAAGCCTTCAAAACCTTTGTTGGGCAACAAAATCTAGTTCCCTTTGAAATTCAAAGTTAAAGGAAATGTCCTGCTTTGCTGCAAGCATTGGACTAGCTAGAGCGTCTGGTATATCTTCTAGCATGCCAAGAGCTTCATGGACTCAGCAATATTACTAATGGTTTTATTTTCGTGCTGCGCAGGTTGTGGAAGCAGTAAATGTCTTGCATCCTGAGTTCAGAGCTGTTGATAATTTGGTAGCATGCAATACCAACCGTGTTCTTAAAGCTTTCCAAAATGCTCGAGTTGGATCTCATGTAAGCATGTATTTGTGCATAGATAATCATTCTGCTAATTTTTTCTAGGATATGTTTGGTTTCCCAAGTTATTTTGGGTCTTGCCTATGGATTTAAGGCCAATAATCTTCAATATATTGGTTGGAAGTGATGCTATTTCAGGACTTGGTTTCGTTCCACTCTGTTTTCTTCACTATAATTCTTCATAAGCCACTTCCACAATTTTATCCATTGAGTTGATGCCATTGTATGTTGCATTTTGAGCTGAAAATTGCCGACAAGTTATGATGGCATGGTTGACAAGTTGGAAAAAATAATTTCTACTGATGTAAATGCATATGAATGTATCATTGTTTTTGTTGTGTAATCCTTGAGTTTTATACAGATTGAAGTTCTTTAAATTAATGCATGCCAAGATATCAAAGAAATAGGGAACAAACACTGTTCTCATGCCCACCACCATGACAATAAAGGTGACAGGAATGTATAATCCCATATAAAAGTTCCTCACTTCATTTGAATATCCATTTTGTTTTCCTTTTTCTATAAAGTTCTGTAAATGCATTATTTTGGGTTCTTTGCTCTAAACTTGGTACTTACGAGTTTGGGTGTGTTGGGCCATGTTTAATAGTTGATGTATTTGTTTGGATATAAATCACTGTTCTGTTTAAATTGTGTGGCTCATGCGATCTGGAAGTAGTTGTTTTTTGCCTGTTCACATTTTTCCCCTTCAACTCATCGACTATATTTGCTTTATGATGCCTATGGTTGCTATTAGCATTTTGGTGGTAGCACTGGTTATGGCCATGAAGAAGCTGGGGGACGAGAGGCCCTTGACCAAGCTTTTTCAGATATTGTCGGGGCTGAGTCAGCCATAGTTCGCTCTCAGGTTTTTACTTTTCCTTAAATACCTCTTGTTACATGTACTCCTTAACGAAATGAATAATATGAAACATTAGTAAATGTAATGTTTTCTTCTATCTTCAGTTCTTCTCAGGTACCCATGCTATCACTTGTGCTTTGTTTGCTGTTTTAAGGCCTGGGGATGAGGTAACACATTGTTGTTAGTTGCATAGTTTCTGAGAGTCTTATAATATTCTCTAGTCCAATTCTAATTTATTACTGCAGTACTGGAATAGGATTTAGACTGATATAGCTGTCAGCTTTTGGCAGTTGCCGGTGCTCCCTATGACACCTTAGAGGAAGTAATTGGAAAGAGGGACTCTGGGGGACTGGGTTCTCTTCAAGATTTTGGGGTGAAATATCGAGAAGTTCCGGTATGATGCTGGTATGATACTGGTTATTTATTTCTGGTTATAATTTATGAAGCTCCTGAGCTTTTGTTTTCCAGCTTGCTGAGGACGGTGGGCTTGACTGGAATGCCTTGATGGTTGCTGTCAAACCAATAACGAAATGTGCACTGATACAGAGGTCATGTGGATATTCATGGCGTCGGAGTTTGAGTGTTAATGAAATAGGGAGGGCAATAAAGATAATTAAAGTAAGGTTCTATGTAGTTATTAACTCAATAGTAGATCGACATGCACAGCTGCCCTGTAACTTGTCTGCCCATGAAATCTTCACTTCATGAAATGCTCTCTTTTGAATGTACAGGAAGTAAAGATATAGTGTAACACAACCTTAGTAGTTGATTAATATGTAATTCTCCTGTAACCTTTTCATTTAGCATTTTCACCCATGCAAATCCTTGAGCACACAGTAGAAGATTTTACCCGCGGAATTAGTTAGTCCTTTTAATTTGAACATTTTACTCATGGTTTCTTTGCTCTGTGACATACCAGTGGAATTCTTGATTTATTTTGCATCTCACAATGACACTATTAAAAACAACCTTAGCACTATGCCTATAAATAGTTATTCCCATTGCTTGTAAATGCATTCAGGAAAAAAAAAAAAAATTCTCCTAAGCTCATTCCTTGATACCCTCTCATTTTTATTTGCACAGATGCAGAATCCCGACTGCTTAGTCATGGTTGACAATTGCTATGGTGAATTTGTGGAAAGCATTGAACCTCCCATGGTGGTATGTGACAGAATGAAACACTTTGCAATTCTTCATCTAAGACTGTATGATATTGAATTGTCCATTGGTATTCAGGGTGCAGATCTGATTGCAGGAAGTTTGATCAAGAATCCAGGGGGAACAATTGCACCATGTGGTGGATATGTTGCTGGGAAAAGAAAATGGGTTGAAGCAGCTGGTGCTCGTCTTTCTGCACCCGGGCTTGGTGTAGACTGTGGCTCAACACCTGGCAATATAATGCGGTCTTTTTTCCAGGGATTGTTTCTTTCACCTCAAATGGTTGGGGAGGCAATCAAGGTACCAAATTCTGCATTTTGATGGGAGAGTTATTACCTTTCTTCCTTGTATCTCTTTGTGAGAGTTTTTGTACCCTGTAAGGGTTCCTTCCTGGTTGCTGAAGTCATGGCATCTAAAGGGTATAAAGTGCAGCCACTCCCACGTGTGCCCCGATATGATACAGTGCAGGTTTTTCTACTAAGTCTGTTCTTTTTTACTAGCTGGAAATAAAAACTTAATATTTATCTCCAACTCGATGCTTTTTAGGCCGTACAGCTTGGAAGCCGGGAGCGTCTGCTTGCTTATTGTGGGGCTGTTCAGAGAAGCTCCCCTGTTAGTTCATATACCAAACCAGTTGCTGGTACAACTCCTGGTTATGCATCAGAGGTCTCTCCAAATTATTCTCCATACACAAATTTAGGATCTTTCTGAATGCCAATGATGTCTTTGTGTTTCCTAACAGCCATTGACATTGGTTTTGACATCAATCTTAGGTGATCTTTGCTGATGGAACCTTCATTGATGGAAGTACTAGTGAGCTTTCATGTGATGGGCCACTTAGAGAGCCATTTGCTGTATTTTGTCAGGTTTGTGCCTTTGTTTATTGTAGCGCTGCCCATGATTATCCATCGGATGTTGTTGTCAGGTTCTCCAATGGGTGATAATTTCTTACAACTCAGTTTAACGCCACATGATTGTTTCTTACAAAAAAGTGAGAAACTTAATAGCAACATAGGAATTTAGTGCCACATGCTTATTTTTATTTCATTTTCCAAGTGCAGGGTGGCACCCATTGGACTCAATGGGGGCTAGTTCTTGGAGAAATTTTGAAGTCTATATGATCCTTAGGAAGACAAGAAGATTAAGATTGGTTCAGAAAATTATTTCCCATTGTTGCTTCACATACGTAGCCTACAAAAATGATTTGCCTATGAGAAAATCATGGTGTTGTGCTGCACACCGAACTCAAACTGCTTATGGAGGCTTGCTAGCTCTGCTGATTAGGGGAAAAAGTGGTGAAATTTTGGGTAAAAGGGTTATTAGTTGTCATGTTTGTGCATTTTAATTAAACATCGACGGGTTCGAGCTTCAAAGAAAATTTTTCTCTTCCTTGGGAAGCTTATTGTGATGTGGAGACTGTAATGTTTTCTTTTTGCACATTGAAGATACGATGGATTATCCAATTCTTAATATTAATAGAGCTGACCTGGCTTCAGCTCTTCCAGCAAGGTCCATGCCTCGCCATAATCTTCAATTAATATTTTTAACCTGTTCAAATTGATCCCACTTGTTCAAACGACCTTGAAAATATTAATCATAAATTATCGCAAGAAGTCAGGTCTGCTGCCAGAGCCAGAGCCAAGCTTGTTCCATTGACAATAAAAAGTTGGATAGTCCATCGCACCTTCAATGTGTTAAAAATAAAAACGTTATAGCATCTACATTATAATAAGTTCTCCATGAGAGAAATTATCCCCGAAAATAGAACTCATCAATGTTCAATTAAAATTTGTGTGTTGTTAATTCACCTCTAGTCTGGTAGTCCAATCGGAAAAAAATATTGAAAAGCCAATTGATTTCTTAAGATTTTAACAAGAGCATGCATCTTTTCTCAACAAGGTTCTCTCTACTTTCTGTTTTGATCATGTTTCAAGCTAGTAATGGCAAAGCTAGAAGCCTGGGCTTTGTAATATAATGTCACAAGGTTATTACTCTCTTTTTAAAAGATTAATCCAATGGAATGTACAGCTCATCTGCTCATTATAGTTAAAAATCTTCCTCAAGTTCCTTTAATGTGAGATATAATAACTTCCCAAGTCTCTTAGATTAAGATTGCGCGTAATAGCTCCATCATGGGTGCTCCATCATGGGTGGCCCGTCAAAGGAGCCTTACAAATGAACAAACTCAAGTCTAACTCTAATATTACTTTGTTATAAGGTCATTATTCTCCCTCAAAAGGTTAACCTAATAGAGTGTACATTGCATCTGTTTATATAGTCAAAATTCTTCTCAAATACCTCCTATGTGGTACGTAAGAATAAGCTACTGTTCAATGAAGCAAATGCATGCATAATGAAAAATTTAGAATCGCAACATACAAATTTTATACAACTTTAGAACCACAACTTCTATTTGATGCATAGATTGAGAAGAATTCAACTACAAAGAATCACTCTAGCCATATTAGTACAAGGTGTGACGTGAGAAACATCACTGTCAAAACATAATATTACAATTGCAATGCTACTCTGGTCATCATACTTTCTGGAGAATGTGTTCCACGTGAAATTGCAAGACGCAGAAACTTTCTGAATTGCAGACCAGCAAGCGTCTTCGAGGTTATTCATCCTGAAAATGGATATAAAGTCCATAAAAGAATTTAGGCTATATTTGGATTTAAGAGAGTGGAGGAGGATAAAAATGAAGAGGAAACTTCTTGTTTAAATCTAAAAGAAAATGTCCAAATCAAACCTTCCTTATATTTTTTCTCCGTTTTTCTCAACCAGTGAGTTGAGTGTTGTTCATACTGCTGAATATTTATATCATGTTTATCAGAGACCAAGAGCAGGTACTCATGTATGAGCAAATTGCTAGGAAAATATCAAACCTAAAAGTTCTACATATGCAATGACTTGTTATAGCCAAAATCCAGACCCCTGGGCATGATACCCTTCATTATGATTTTACATCAAGTTTTTCACTTATGCACACTCTAAGATGTCTACCAACATACACAACTTGTTATTCTGTTTTTTTGTTTTTTTTTTTTTTAATTTGGCAAACGTCAAAAAGTTTACGAGTGCTGGTTGAACTGCGATTTGAGCATCACAAGAATGCCTTAGTGCCACTTGAACCGAAGGTTCTTGGCACTTGTTATTCTGTTATCATAATAAAATTATTACCCTATATCATAAAACTTGAATTGCTCCACTTTTTGAGCCCGAAGCTTTCCTTGAATCATAAGTATGGCGATTCTAAGGTCAAAATATGATGATGAACTACTTTGCAAATTGCAAAGCAAGAGTTTTGTTAGTATATTTAACTTGACACAAGCTAGAAAGCAGCAAGAATGACATGGAGAACATGATTAATAGCCTAGGCAACTCTGCTCATCCCAACAGTATTTCTGGTTTCCTTGAAAATATTTCACTGGTCATGTATTTGAGTAAACGGTCTAACAAAAATCAACAAGAAGTTACAATTTTGAGTGGTAAGACCTACCAATTTGCCGCTCAGAGGATTCAATCTACATCTTTTATTTCGGCTTCAACATCGATTGCTCTAATAGAATCTTTTTCTGTCATGACAGAAACAAAGGCACACAACAAAAATTGAGAAACTCCAGGATAAGGAATAGAGTTACATTTGAACAAAATTGTACTTGAAGGACAAGAGAATAAGCTTAATAAAGATTACCATTTCTAGAACTAGAGTTGTTATTAAATGCCTGTCCAAATGTTGTAGGTTGGTTGGAAAACTTCACAGATTCCTTTACAAACTCATCGCCCACAACTGTTATCAAAGTAAATTTCAAGCAGTAAGAAGCATGCACAAGCATGAATTATTTAATGCAGAAATATTTACTACTTTCAAAATCATGGAACGTCTTTTAAGTATCACAAGCATTCGTTGAGGTATCTTTATGAATCAAAAAGTGGTTATAAGTGCTTAACATTTAGGCAGATAAACCATGCAGATCAATAATAATTAAGACAAATGAAATGAAACAACAGCTGGTACTTGGAAATATATTTTTGCTGAGCTTGTTTGGTTTGTGGAATGGAATAGAATGAAAAAGGAAATGTAATAAAAAAGTGATTTCTTAGATATGTCATGTGATACATGTCCCCAGATAAAAATTAACAATAATAAAAAATAGTTGTTATTAAGTAATCGATCATGTGATGGAAAAGGACTACTTTTCCTTTGTGCTAATGAAAGGAGGCCAATGTTTCTATTTCGGAGTTGCATGTCTGTTGCAACTTTAGATTTTCCCTTGCTTTGACCAAAACTAGAAGAACTTATCATAAGTTTACAGAATACAAAATGCACAAGATTCACACTTCGACACGCTTAAAGACCATTAGAGAAATTAGGTTTTTGCACACTTGAAGAAATACACAGATGTTAGTGTTAGGCAGCTAAATTATACTTCAGAAGTAATGGAGGAAGAGCATGCCAATTGCAGGGGAACCAAAGGAGAATTCACTAAAATGCCTCAGAAGCCACAGAGAACTGAAGTGCCAATGCTCAAGCAAATATGATACTCATAAAAATATTACTCCAAGGACAAATCATGAACAACCACCAATTTAAAAGTAGAGTACTATAAGCATGTAAAGAATAATGTAATATACTCGCTCACCACCTAGCATGCAGGGCATCCTTTAAATCTTAGTTTACAATGGAACTTAGAGAAAGAAAATGACAGCACACATTAGTCAATCACTCTTCTAAGAAACAAAGAAAATTACAAATATGATTTTCTAGAAAAGGATAAATAATAAACAAAATTTGGAAATGAAATCATTTAAACATTGCTGGGAAGAGGTATACAAGAGCATAGACAACAACAGCTGGTTTTAAGATTTGCCATAAACAGCTGACCACACTATCATACTGAATAAAACAACAACAACAATAACAACAAAAAGCCAAGACCGTAGGGAAAATTATAGGACATAAAAGCTAAGGAAACCTAGAGGCCAAGACCAGGCTCTTACCAGAAAAAGGCAGACCACAAAAGGGGCACAGCTGCAAATCATCATTTAGAGACCTGAAAAAGATAACTGGAATTAAAAGGTAACCAATTGGAAGGAACTATTAAAAAAAATCATTTTTAAATTTCCTTATTAACATGTTTTAGACAAAACTTACTTGAAAACCTGAAATGCGTTTCCGCAATTGGGGCACTGCATATAGAACAAAGGATCACCAATAAATGAAGGTACAAGTCACTTTAAGATAGACTAATACTACTAATCTGAACATTTATAATAACAGAATAGTGACATAATGACACAAGAACTTTACAATTATAATTGCCTCCAATTTTGATCATAAATCTAATTGCCAACAACTTCCCACTGGAAAAGAATAAATTCAATGGTAGAAAGCACTACCTTTCAATGGATTCAAAGGACAAGAAATGTAGGGGAAGAGAACGTGGCCCCAAGATTTACAAAGTCAAGATCATTTTTTTCCTCATCCAATATGCAGAGTGACTAAATTTTCCTTTCAATCTTATGTATTATCCATATTTTTCTCTTTATCCAGGCGTTTTCTCAATATAGGTTTTTCTTCACTGTAAATATGTGTTCTACTTTCGTATTGTTTTTTTTTTCCCCCAACTTGAGAGGTACTTTTCCCTTTAAATTTTTCCTTTAATAAACAATAAATTGAGATGAAGAGAGAGAGAGAGAGTTCCTTTTAATTCAAAGTTTGAACCCAAAAAGAAATCTCATATGAAGAATAGAAATTAATTAATTATATTTAAGATAAACTAACAATTTATATAAATCGTTAAAAGAAATCAGATGCGAATAAAAGATCAGGAAGAAGACACCAAATAAAGCCCAAGGCAGCAACTCCTGAAACAAAAAATTGCAATCTGAAACTATGGCTCTAGGCAGAAATAAGATCTGCAGGAACCCAGCAAAACAATAATAAAAATGATCAAACCATCTAACTATCAACTGATCCAGAGGAATTTCATAGTGGAGAATTAAAGCCTCACACTGCCTTGCATGATATCTCGTCCAGCCCACCAAAGGAAAGCACCGAGGCCTACTATTGGTACTAACACAGCAAAGATCTGCATATAGGGGGAAAAAGACCAATCAGAAAGAACTTGGACACTGGATCACTCTATGGACTAAAACAAGAAGCTCTATTGTTTTCACTGGCAGATACTAGCAATGTGAGATTAATCTATAAAGTTAACCACCTCTTGAGCAGGTAAAGTATAAGTTAAGAAAAAAATATTGATTGCCAGAAATAAAAATACACCAAGTTCTTCTCTACACAACTATAAATTATTATGTTTGCAGGATAAACAGTTAAACACATTTTACTCGGATGGCTGCCTATTCTGAGCAGTCAGACACAGACAGCTTAATTGCTAGGGTATGAAGATCTTAGTTCTTGCTTGTTTAGATATGTTAGATGACACCAGGATTTGTTAAAAAAAAAAAAATTGCATTGGAGCATACAGAGACTGGACTGTAGTACCTGTGAGCCTGTAACGGGTGAAAAACTGTAACGATGGAGAGCTTACTAAAATAACCTAGTGTATTGACCTTCAGTTTAACCAGCCTCTGCCATGGGAAGTTATATAGGACAAAGGTTGGATACTCTCATATTTGACTATGCAGTCTTAAAGTGGGGTGCTCCTACGTGAAAAATATTAAATAATGCTTGTTATATTCTAAGAATCATATGCAAAATTTAGTCTAAAGCTTATGGATTGTTTGCTATATTCAAAAAATTATATACCAATTTTACAAGTCTTAATTCAGTGTATTGGGTAGTTTTCCCATGGAATGTTATACTGACTCCTTAATATCCATTTTCAATCTTTCATGATAATTACGACTAAGTATAAGCTCATTAGTTATCATCACTACACGATATGGCAGGCCAAAAGGCAGAGAGTTAATACCCAAATGGAGACAATTGCATCCAAAATCCAGCCAAGCTGTCCAGTCGTTGTTAGATAAGCTAATCCAATGGCTAGGGCAAGATTCCCCAAAATATTAGCAGAAGCACCGTTCTCAGTGTCGTCTCCATCGTTGAAGCCAAAACCCTGATTACTCTTCACCAAAACTATTCTCTTATTTGCCTTCCCTTTGCACCCCTTCTGATTCAACAAGACCCCATTTCTAAACCCACTGCCTCCAAAGAAAGACAAAGTCTCCCTGCATGCTCTCAACTTGAAACTCCTCTCGCGAAAACAATCACCTCTAGTTTCCAATGGAACGAAAGAGAGAGCTCGTCTCCTGAATATGTCGGCATGGAAGGAAGTGGGGTCGGAAGTTGAGAATTTGATCCTGGAGAATTGCGAAAGTGTGGTGTGCATGGGAAAACTTAGTGCAGAAGATCTTAGAACGTAACCTGGAGATTTCCACATGACCACCGCAACATTCGTCGAGGAGAAGAATTCTTCCGCAGCTGTTTGAGCTTCCTCACTCGTCTAGGCCTCGCTGCTGCCCGGCCACGTTGGATTCTAATTTCTAGACACTACTCCTATTTTGGATAGGGAATCAATCGGTTGGAATTTAGATATTTGTTCGTTAATATTCCCCCAAAAAAAATATTTGTTGTTAATTGACTGGCTTAGTTTAACAAACTATCCCATTTTGGATGGAGATTAGCAATTTATTTGTGAACGCATATTCAGTGCAAATTCAACATGGATTAAATTTAAGAAAAAATAACAAAGAAATTCCAAAAAAATAATTAATTTAAATTAAATTTTAAGTGTTAAATTTTAAAAATTTACAATTCAATCTCTCAATTTTTTCATTGTATTAAATTTATAATTTATTTTTTAAATTAATATAGTTAAAGAGTAAAAAAAATTATTTTTTTCATTAAATTTGAAATATAAATTATAAATTTATTACAATAAAATTACAAAATTAAAAGATAGAATTGTAAATTTTTAAAATTTAACACTTAAAACCTAACTTGAATTAATTGATACTTTTAAAATCCCCCTATTATTTTTCCTCAATTTAACTAGGGTGACTGTATTGAGTTTAAACCCCATCTGAAACGGGTTCAAGAAATGAGATTTTTGTTCTTTAGTTTTTTTTTTAGCAACTTTTATATTTATACAATAAATAATTTTTATTTTTTTTAACTAGAACATAAAAATTCTTATTTACTTTTCAAATTTTACTTCTTTACTTTTTACACCTTGATGAATGGAAAACTTCTTGAAACCACTTTGAAAGAGTTATCTAATAAGAGAAAAATGAAGCCCATAGGATCAAGCATGCCAATTAGGACAAGAAAACAGTTAAAGCTGAAATATAAGTTATGACCATTACTATACATGCAAGACCAAATTGTATCTAAGAACCTCACATATTTCCCTCTTAAGTTGCCAGAGTGTTCGAGACAGGGATCAACTTTCAACACGGGCAGATCAGTTGTTATGTCTTTCCCATTATACTGTTGAGGGGGGGAAGAAGAAACATACTACACAGATTTTGTTTGCATTAACCTTCCACATTAAACCACTGAATTCTCATATTGAAAATCTAATTTACAGCCGTGACCTAATAAATACTCTTCTTCCATTCTTCTTCATAATATCTATTTTCCTGAGGTCATCATCTGATGATATCTTTGGAGGCTGTGATCCATCCACACGGTTGGGTGATGTTTCGTACCCCTGCTTAAGATTATTCACATGTTCCTCCACTTCCTGCATCTTCACTTGAAACGGAATGTGGTTTGCAACTTTAACATCAGGTATTTTCTTGGCCTTTGATGGTGTTGACAAGGGTATATCTATTACTCGTTGCACTGTCTTGCTTGCATACTTCTTACCTGCAATACTCAACAAAGTGAGAAAACGGACTTTAGACATCAAAGCTGCTACACCCACTTGTCGATAAACTAGCATAACAAATTTTCTACGGTCAGTCAACTACGAGCTCTCATACCATTACTAGAGTAAATAAGGATGAAAATAAACATATGCACGAATTAGATACACCAATTTAAGATCTCCTATTCACCTATAACCCAAGATAAAAGATCACTACATCCTTTACCACTTGTGCTGTTGTAATGTCACCAAAAGGATATAACAGGATTCGCCGGACAGATAGATAACAAGACTCGGCCAACCAGTGAATTATTGACCAGAAAAAATGTTAACGGCCACATACAACCTTCTTTTTCATTGAGAAATCTATATTCAAATACAGATCTTTTTGTGTAGTTGCTTCATCCTCAACTTGCACTCCCTTTGAAGGTGCAGGGTAGTACGTGGAAAACTCAAGGTGATCATTCATAATTGAAAATTCGCCCTTCTGACTTTGACATTAGCAATTTAAAGACTGGAGAGGGAGACTCAAATTTTCACACGGCTCAAAATGCTCAAATGAGAGGGTTAATAAATTATATTATCAGAAATTTCTAAAATATCATTCAAGAGGCAAAGTGAGAAATCGTACCATTGGTTTGCCCACCATGATGATTTACTAAAAGTCAAGTTGTAAGAAAATAATACATCATTAAAGTATTAAACAATTAAGGCGAAAAGAGAACCACACACTGAACTCCACACCCATATCCTCAATTTTATTTGCAGGCACTGAAATACCATGGATGTCCTCGTGTGCATTATAACACATAACACAAAGCAACCACGAATCATGAAGAAGGCACTACCCTTTCCCTCGCCGATGTCAGCAAATAATATAGAAAGAAATGCACATTCGACAATTTAGTGCCTGAATCTTGCCCTTACGGCCTCGACATAATTAAGGCTCCAAAAGATTTGCACTATTGCTATTTGTTAGTTGCCTAGTAAGTAAGAACATGGCAATTATACATATTCCCGAACTAAGAGTACTAAGTCAAAAAAAAATTTAGCCATTAAATCATGAAAGAGGGCGATTCATGGTGCAATGGCGCATATGATTAGGGCAAAGATCTTCCTTCATCCCAAAAAGCTCACTTCCTCCATAATTCAATGTGTTCCGATAAAATAAATTTATGATTACTGTCCAACTTCTCATTCTCCAGCAACCTACCTTCCCATGCATCAACAATATCGGAAATTTTAAGAAATCGTATCATGATATTGATAAGCGCGAGTTCAAAAAAAAATGAAATAATTAAATATCAGAGGAAGGGACCGACCGGGGATGAGCATACGAGAGCCGTCGACTGCGGAATCCGCGGCAAACTTGACAAGGGATGCCAAGATTTGGCTTACCTTGTAGCGGAGATCAAAATCAGGCAACCCGATGCGTGCTCCGTTAATTCTAATGGCATCAGCCATTCTAGCGGCAGTGGTTTCAAACCGGAATATTGTGGATTCCGATCGGCGCCCAATGAATGAGGCAGTGGAGTCGGTGAATTTGAAGGTAGCGGAAAGCCCACGACGAGAGCACTAACTCTTACCGGATATCTGCGAAGATAGTCCCTACCGAATGTATGTAAGAACTAGGGCCCTGGTACGTAGACTTTAATCTAAAAGGATTGAAATTGAGATTAATATTGAGATTGAAAATAAAATTTTAAAATTATATTTGATATGAGATAATACTTATTAAAAATATTTATTTTTATTGTATTTTATAATTAAATATAAATTATTAAAAGATTATAATACTCTTTCAAATAAAAAAAATTGTGACTAATCCTCCTTCACCTTCTCGACAAGCGACCATGGCTACACACTCAATCACCCTTTCACTGTGAGATCTAAAGGCTAGTGGTTGCGGGATTGGAGAAGAAGAAAGCAATGGCGCTTGCAAGACCTAGAGGTCAGTGGCTGCAAGATCGAACGAGGCAATAGTGGCGGTGGCAGCAACATTTGCAAGACCCAAAGGCCAATGGGTGCGAGATTGGAGAAGAAGGAGAATGCATTGAAGTTGAAGTGGAGATGAAAGTGGGAGACTAGACATATGCGACAAATCCAAGCAAATTGAAGAAGATGATGACCAATATGAGCAAACACAGCGACGAAGATTGTCCTTTAAAACTAGATCTGGAATCTCTTAAACTGAAGACGACAGCTGCAAATCTAAGACTAAAGATGTTGGATTTGGACACTTGAACCAGTAAAGGAAGAAGATGAATTGCACGAGACGCAAGGTAAAGGCATTTTAGCATTTACAAAAATCAATCTCAAGTTTGATTTTGCAATACCAGGGGTGGTGATACTAAACAATCCCACCTAGGTGGAATTGGGATTGGCTATAAAATGTTCATTCTCACATACCAAACATAAAAGCTTGAGATTAGTTTGTCCCAATCCTAGTACCACTCCCTCATTCCCCCATACCAAACATAGCCTAAAAACTGTATTATGGATATAATTAATAAATAATTAGTTCGTACTAACCTCACTTCACTAAACACAATTAACTAATAAGACTAAAGGTGATCGAAAAATTAGTACAAAAAAGTGATTATCAAGTTTTAGTTCAACTTAAGGGATCTCCATTTTTTTAAATTAAAAAAAGTTTAAATCTATCAAAATCTCTTATATCAAAGTAAATATAGGTTACGAAAGCATAGAATACCTCAAAGAAGTAAAAAAGAATGAAAACAATTCACATGTGCCGTGGCTCGTGCATGCTGCATTGCAACGTATTGCTCTCTGTACCACGCACCGTGGCGTGTTACACGAAATATCAGCAGATTTTGCTGTCATTTAATAGCAAAATTGGTGAACTTTTGATGTGTTCCGATTCTCCATGCCACGTCCAAATGATGTGATCTAAGTGTCTATGAAAAGCTCTTTTCACGAACTAGCTAATGGCATGAGTTTTACTTCTAAAATAAGTCACACAAAAAAGTTGGACACCCAGACACATTTTGATTACTTTTCACAACTTTCACTGAAAGGGTGTCTAAAACCCTCAACAAGTGCCACAAGCTTTTTTTAACACTTGAACCATGTTTATTAGACCTAGGACTATTAATACAACATGTCTCATGCACTAGAACATAAGTATAGCATAAATTCACTCTTCAACCCCTTTTAACCAAAAACAAAGGGGGAAGTAAATATCCATTACATTGCATCAAAAATCATTGTAACATGTCTAAAACATCATTTCTACACTTGCACTAATATTTTGATCCTATAAATATATATATATATATATATATATCTCACCATACACAATTACTCATGGCCCAAAATACAAATTAGACATTTTCAATAATAAAATAGTACAAGTGTGATGGCATGCAATATAGAATTAGCAATCATATAATATTACACAAAATAAAACTAAGCTAAAGGCATACAATAGGAATGTACTAATTCCTAACCTCTTGAGCCTTCTCCCTCTCTGCACCAGAGCTAAAGCTTGAAAAGTATTAAATAAAAAGGGTGAATTTAGTCATTCAATAACCAAGGTAAAACCTAACCTATGTAATTATATATCAATTGTAAATCAAACATACACATATGAAACCAAGTATTTAAAACATGCTTTAACACATATATTTACATAGGCAATGATCAACCAATCTTATACTCTCTTTATTTTCTCAAACTAAAACTGTGAGCTATAACACTGAATAAGACTCTGTTTGTCTGATTGAACTACCCAAGCTCACCAATTGTGAGATATGACTCGTCCAAAGATCACATGCCTCATTCTGGGGCCACAGCTTCCCCCACTATCGAATCTCTAAGGCATCTCAACCCTAGGCTATTCTTCTTATTGAACTGATGGACATAGTTAGATTCTAATGCCTATACCCTCGTGCACTGGAGGGTAGCCTAAATACCATATGAATTTTTTTCTTTATTCCCAATCCTTAAGCAAACTCCTACTCACTAATCATGCCATAAACGATATTCACTCGTTTTTACATTTTCATTTGTTATTTATCACATTCACATGTTGGGTTCATAATTACATGCTACCTAAGTGAGCATCCAATAACATTTCCTCACATTTTCCTTACTTATCACACTAATTCATTTCTTCATTAACACACATTTACCTTAATATACATCATATTCATCTTTCCAAAGTCATATACATGTTCATAGTTCAAAACCATCTTGATTTCACATTTTTCCTTTCAAGCCAAAAATAGCATTACACACATTCAAATTTTCATACACTTATTGAAGGTAATATATGCTTTCACATTGAAAATCATTCCATGCATGCAACATTCACAATTTATAATTAGCAATTAATTAACATATAACTACCCGAAATAAGTTTTTCCCAATTACCTCAAACCTTTAAGAGGTTCAAAGTTTACCCCTCAATGTTATAGCTTCCAAGCTTGAATTTTCAAGCCAAATGGGTGACCAAGAGTTCAATCTACAATTTACCAAATTAACTTTCATTAACATTACCAATCTCACACATTCAACTCTAATTTTTTCTTTTTTAGATTACTCAATACCTACATTACTTACATTTGGACCTATCCATTAGGTTTATTAACTATCTTTAACATCATATAGCTTTATTAAACATCCACATTGCCATTAATACATCAACAATCACAATAATGACAAATTTAATGTCCATTTTTTGACATTAATAGAGCCCATCATCTAATAACTACCAAAATCATTAATACTAAGTTTAAATACTCTAAATAACTCTCATTAACTCTATTTGAGCTAATAAATTCATACCCATAAACTATATGGATCAAAAATCTTCTTCTATTTCAAACCCTAATTCAAATCCTTGAAAAAATTGAAGAGAAAAGGAGAAGAATGGTTTAAGGATCTTACCTTAGATGATTTGGAGCTTCAAACCTTTTCAATCCCTCCCTCATGTTATGCCCTAACAGAGCAAATGTGATCTCCTCTGTTCCTCTACACGCGCCACGACATGTGGCACAAAGGCTTTTTAGCTTTTTTTTTCCATTTTTTGGTCCCCAAGTAACCCAATTTCACTTTGAACTTAAATTATACTTGAAATTTCAACTAAAAATACTTATTATTCTCCTTTGACCACACACTACATTAATTCACTCAATTATCCTAATTAAGTTTAGTTAATCAGGGGATAAAAATTGGGATGTTACACAATTAGCTAAAATATACTTTTAGTCCTCTAATTTTATACAAGATTTTAATTTAATCTTTTAATTTTACAAAATATCTTTTTAATCATTTAACTCTACTATCATTTGTTTCAAATGATTTTTCTTGTGTCAATCATTGTTATTTTAAAAAATTAAACTTAATACATCAACATTTAATAATATTTTTTCCATATTTAAAAGTTCAATACAAAAATTTGTTGAAATAAAACTAACAATATTATAATTAAAGAACTAAAAGGACACTTTATAAAGTTAAGAAATTAAAATGAAATATTATCTAAAGTTAAAGGACGAAATATATACTTTAACCTAATCAATTTTAAATGTATGTTAACATAAAACATAATTTAAAGTTCAGAAAATAAAACTACATATTTTCTTTTTGTTTAAGAATAAATTATATTTATAAAGGCAAAAAAAAGTCCTAATGCTTCTTGGACGTGGGATAGTATTCTTACTGGACGGGCTTTTCCTAAAAAAAATTATGTTGGCAAGTTGGCATTGGCCATTATATTGACATGTGGAAGGATCCATGGGAGCCGAAATTTCTAAATTCTTATTGCCAAAAATAGAGGATGCTGTCATCAATAATGACATGGTGGTGGCGGAACTTATTCATGATTGTCAATGGAATTTGCAACCAGTGCAACATGTTGTGGAGGCCCCTTTTCTCCAACTCATTCAGACTATACCCCTGTCTAGACACAGGAGGGATGACAGATTAATCTGCGCAAGGCCTAAAAATGGAAAGTACACTGTAAGCCTAGGCTATCAGGAAGCTCTAAGGGTGTATGACTACTGATGCTCTCTGCCAGACGAGCTCTTTTAAGTTCTACAGATAAGCTAATTTAGAAAGCAGCATGGGGCTTGCATGTGATGCCAAAAATCAGATCCTTTATATGGAGGGCCCTGCATAATGCTCTAGCTACGAGAGAAAACTTATACCAACGAACCTGTGCTGCAAACCCACTCTGCTCTATCTGTTGGGAAAAGGTGGAAACTATTGAACATCAGTAGTTAAAGGGTGGATAGAAAATGCACAAGCTAATTCACCATTCCATGCTGAACTAATTGCACTCCACAAATCTATACGTCTGTTTGAGGAATGGGGCCTTGCCAACACGATCATTGAAATGGATTGTAGTGATCCATTTAAAGCAGTAACTATGCAAGATTTCTCACACTGTCCTTGGCAATACCAAATCTGGCTGATGTGTTTGACTTGTTGATGGATCGAAGAATGATATCTTTCTCTCTCATTCCCCGTTCGGGTAATGTTGCCACCAACTTCTTGGGTGCTATAGCTTCAAGGGAGATGGGACCTGCAAGTCTGGCTTTACCACCTCCATCTCCTCGAGCGTCAATCATTCTTCGCCAAGCAGACGGTGCAAGCATATCTTGTGAGGACCATCTCGTTGTAGAGGCAAATAGGAAAGGAATTGGTTGAGAACACATGTTGCTTTGGGATCTTTTTTACTAGTTGTTATTTGTTAATTTGGTTTGCCTTTTGTTATTGTCGAACTTGGTTTTTTCTGCCTGGATGCCTCTTTATTGGTAAAAAAGAAAAAGAATAAATTATATTTCTAAATTAAAAAACTTGTAACCTTTTGTTTCCTGTTAAAAAAATGAAAGGAAAAGAAAGAAAAAATTGTAACGCTTTTTGCGCACCAAAGATTTTTTTTTTTTTTACCAACATAACAATAATAAAGATTAGAACAAAAATTTAAGGGATAATTACTTTGAGATCGCCACAACATATTTAAATACCACAATCATTTTGCTTTACCAAGTTGTGTCAATAAATTTAGAGTATTTAAATATTCCCTCCATTCAAAAATGTAAGGCATTTTTAATCGAATCTCACCTCCAATAAAATAATTACCTCTTTTCAAACTAACTCTATTTTTTCATATCTACCCTTATTGAACACCCTACAATAAATATAAAGTCATTATCAATAGGAGCACTTTTAAAAAAAATGACAATGATTACATCTCAAAAGATTAAAAATATTTTACATCTTTTAACATTCAACTTTTCAAAAAATGCCTTACACTTTGAAACGGATGAAGTATATTGTATGAGACTTATGTCTAATTATCTTATAATTTAACTTGAAAAATAAAAGATAAGCAAACAGTTTTAATATTTCTGAATAAATATGTAGAGTAGTAGTATAAAAAGCGGTAGTAGATATTCATAACATTAGGCTCATTTCAACATTTGAGAGGTCATGGATCGACATGGTATTAAAAAAATTGCCCAAAAGAAAGCTCAAGTATTCTCTCTTCAACCAACTAGACGACTAGGCACAAAGTTATGAAAAGAACGTGTGTTTAAAAAGGTTAATAAGCACGCAGATTGATTTGCACAGAAAATTTCAAATGACAGCTTCGATAAAAATTTTGACAATCTGCCTTTCAAGTGCAGAAATTGTATGACTTGTAACATAATCTTAACATTTTTCCTCGCAAAGTGTCCTCTGACCTTATATTTAAAAAATATTAACAAGAATTACATTTAAAAATTTTGTAAATATAACTCATGTTATAAAACCAAATCAAATGAATACCAAATATTTATTATATTTTTCATTATAACCCATTTATTATATTTGTCAATGATATAGCATTATATATCAATAATAAATCTCTTATATATTAATAATAAATCCTATACAAATCAATATGAAGTGACCACATTTTTAAATTTTCAAAAATTTGATCCAGATTTTCTAGGTATAAGTATTTTTCCCCATTACTTTACAGTGCTCAAAGTCAGCAGATTTACGTCACTCATCAATAGAGAAATGCAATTCTGATTTAAAGCGTAAGACTCATCGCACTCACACTCACTTCCCAAGTAATGAAAGGAGTTAAAACTTATCGTTTAGCATGTTCTAGCCACTAGAAACCGTAAAGGAGCAATTCCTCTATGTACTCGACATTCTCTCAAGAGTTAAGTCGAAAAGGTGTTCAGTCCATTATAAAGTCAGGTCATAAAAAAGTCCATTCTAAAGGAATAGATAATTATTGACCGGAAAAGGCACTCAAGCACATGCATTTTATTTAAGTAAACCTAAAATACAAACACATCTATACATATGAACAGGGTTTTACTTTAACTAACACCACTTCATGATATCCATTGTCTGATGTTCTGCAGCAAAATCATCTGAATTAAACGGGAGGCCTACAAATAAAAATTTTAAGAGAAATATCGTAATAACAAATAAGAGAGACAACGTAAGCACATGGTTCTGTGGAAGACGCCATCCAATATAAATAATTAGGAAGGTTTAAATCAGCGAAAAACAACATAAATTTGAACCATGGCCCCACTCGTCCTCGCCATTAAATTGGGAGTTATCATAAAGATTTAGCCACCCTCACAAAAACAAACAAATATGATACTATTGCATCAATCAATCACCATGAAAAGTCCAAAATCATTTCTAAAGCCATCAGAGCTTATCAGGATCAGATAGCAAAACAGGTAACACCCTCCTTGGCTATGGCAAGGAATAAAGGAGCCAAAGAAGGGTAGGGGGATAAGGGGCTGCAACTAAAAAGAACAATGCTGGCATTGCCATTGCTGAAACCATATGGTAAGTGCAATTTTACTGATTAGAGGCAAACATAAGAGACCACGGCTAGATGTCAATAACTGTTTAATCTGACTTTCTAACTCTTCGGGGGGAAATAAAGGTCAAGGAAAATATACAAGGTTCAAAACAGATAAGGCGGTGTGTATGAGTAAGCCTCCGTAGGGAGGGGGAGAAATATAATTTGAAAAATTAGCAATTAATTAATATCACGTGCTGAAAGTCTGAAAGAGTGAAACTAAAATAGACAATACTGGGAGGTTCAAAATTGATATTGTGAATCTTAAAACAAGTTCAATCAAGACAACAGGAAACATCTCTAGCCAAAATAAGAAAATGGGTATAGACAGACCGCAGTGCTGATCAACAATCATTGGAAACCTAAATTCTCCCAAACCTTACCAAATGCCAAGACAAATCCTTTTATAGAGACAGCCCAGCAAAGAGCAACTCCAATTCCCGCTCCTGTTCTGCAGTTCTCTGATATATTTTTTTAAAAAAGGGGTTAAGGTAGAACACAGTTAATCACGCATTCCTAGTATATATTAGCTGTCAAATATAACCATAAACCATATCATACACTATATCACAAGAACTCTAGCCATCATGAAGACAAAACATATTCCATTTAATAAATTAACACAGAATTTAACAATATGACCTATATATCAGGTGTCAAAGTTAATTAAACCTAAAATGGAACATCAAATTGCTAGCATTTAAAATGGATAGGCAAACAAATATGTAAAATGGTATAATCTTCAGAATAAGGTACACCATACACCAATTATAAGTCAAGACATCAACAAAAATTTTCATTTATCTTGTAATTCTTGCTACATTTATTATATTCTAACCTCCATTCCGCAACCTAACAGCCTACATTAAATCTCCTTTTGAGGGTTATGAATAGCAAATTGGTAGACATTGACTTAAATCTCTATTTCTTTTCTTCTAATATAATTTGTTCACTAATCCCCTCCACCCCCCGCGTCTTTTCATTTACTGAAAATTCCAGAATTTTCCAGACTTCATATGAATACGAGAATATGACAAATGGAGACTGGTTAAAAAAACATATAATGATACCCCACATTTTTATCAAATCATGATAATCGAATGCCAAACTCAGAATCCAAATGGACTCACCTGCATTGAGATAAGTTGCAGGATTTTATTAAGAACCCTCATACGATGTGCAACATATGTACTTTTTGCAGGAAGTTGGTTCATTCTACTTATTTCTTCATGAACGGCAGCCTGCTTTTGTTCACTCCACATCTGTTTCTGTGGTGTGGGTTGGTGAGTGGCTTTGTCCTCAATCATCGGATCGAGGGTATCACAACCCATGAAGTGCTCAAAGGAATCCACTTTTACACCTAATACACCAAAGGGATAAACAAAATAATTCATTAACCACAACAATCACATCAAACAAACAAATATTTAAGAAATGCCTCTAAAAAGCAGGGAGTTTGACCACAATTAATTAGAACAGAATCAGTTAACCACAATAAACCCCACATATTGGAGAGAAAAGCACTCAGAGATTTATTACTACAAAGCGTTTCCCTCAATCAGCACGCTTGCGTCTTCACAATAATATTGATAATCAGTCTCAAAAACCAAAAGCTAAATTCATTATTCTAACGCTCTCCCAAAGAAGCTAACCAAAAGTAATACTGGCAATGCTGAGCCAGCATGACTAGTTGTAGAGTAGACCTCTGGCCACCAGATAGGATGGAAATTTTTTATTAAATTTTCAATACCATGCCCCCCTAAAAAAAAGAGGCAAAAGGATCAAGAAAGAGAATACTCCCATTGAAAAATGTAAGGCATTTTTAACCAAATCTCATCCCTTAATAAAGTAGTTATCTACTTTCAAACTAACTTTATATAATACTTATCTCTATTAAACACCTTATAATAAATACAAAGTCATTATTAATAAAATAGTTTTGAAAAAAACTACAATATTACTCTTCGAAAAGATTAAAAATACTTTATATTTTTTAATATTTAATTTCTCAAAAAATACTTTACATCTTTAAACCAAAACGTACTACAGATTACAGAAGAAAAGAATTCGTACAAGTTACAACAACAGAATATCACTGTGAACGAAACGATTTAAAAGGATCAGTACGGGAGCAGACTACATAACATTAGACCTATGAGACAATGTAAGGACATAATTGGCAGAGGTGAGAACAGGAAGGAACAGAGGGATCATGCCCCAGATTCCATAAGAATTTGAAGATGGGTCCCTGTTTTGTCCGCTACAAAATCATACAGCTAACGATTCAAAATAATAACTTGACCGTTGCTTAAGCAACTCAGATGCCACCTTCATGTTTTCTTCCCCTCTCAATTAAATCATGACAAATAAACCCAAAAAAGAAAGAGAAAGAGAGAAAAATCAAAAGTGTGTAGAACAATGAAGAGAAATTACTCAGCCAGAACCCTAGAAAACAAATTCAGAAATCTTCCGAGAGTGTTCGACCCGTGCCGGAAAGGCTTTGATGTCAGTAAACAAGGGAGGGTATTGCTAGCATGTCGCGGTGCCCCAAGGCTGCCCCAAAACCCTAAGCCCTGAGCATCTCTGAACCGGAACACGCCATCTTCGAAAACAATCCATTTTATCATAAATTTATTGTTTATTCATATTTTTGTTTTAAAAATAATATTAATATTAACCGAGATTTTTTTTTATTAATTGACCAAAAAACAATTCTTTAACCATGACCAGCCTGCATGTTTCATTCCTACCAAGTTCCCAAAGATGCTCTTAAGTATTATTTGATTCTGAATTTTTAAAATAATATACTCTTTTCATTTAAAAATGTATAATATTTTTTAAAGAATTAAATATTTAAAAATATAAAATATTTTTAATCTTTTAAGATCTATTATTATTTTTTTTAAAGTATATCTATTAATAATGACTTTATATTTATTGTAAGAGATTTATAGGGGTAAATATAAAAAAATAGAGTTAATTTAAAAGTAAATAAATATTTTATTGAGAGATGAGATTTAGTTAAAAATGACTTACATTTTTAAACGGGAGAAATATATATATACATATTCTCTAAATAATAATAATATTAATTTAAATCAATGTTGATTATTTTTACAATCATATTGATCTTAATTGAATGAATTGCATTTTTTTGCCAATAGAATTTTATTAATTAAATTCATATTGAGATCATATTTATCTTAAATGAAATAAAATATAAATATTAAATCTAAAAATAAAGGTGAAAAAATAATAACACCAAGTGTTACTATTAGACTAGGGAATTATTTGTAGCAAATTTGAAATAACACTTGTGATTTTTAATAAGATTATTTCTTTTGTAAATAGAACGGGGATATTTGCTATTTAAAATTTAGATATTAATAATTTCTTCTTAAAAAGATACCTAAAAATAATTATTAATTTACTGATTTACCATTATCTCATTTATCATATGTATATAAATATATTTAAAGTAATAATAAATATTTATTTATATTAAATATTTATATAATGCTACTAAGTAAAAATATAATATATTTCTAGACAGTCATGGCACAGGTGAAAAGGAAAATAATAAAAAATGCAAATAACAAGGTCAAATGGTGTATGGTACAAAATCACAAAGTAGACTTGTGTTTGGTTGGAGAGAGGGAGGAGGAGTGGAGGGAATGGAGGGGAAGGAAAGGAAGAGTATTTTAATGATGTCTTATTTGATTTGGAAGGAGAGGGGAGGGAAGATAGTAGTTAATTTACTATTATATTTTTATATATTATTTTATTTTTAAAAAATTGTTCCTCATATAAAATATCTTTTCACTTTAATTAAATTATAATTTTTAAATGTTGTGCGCTATCAATAAATTTTATGTTAATTATTATATATTTATATTGCTTAAATATTAGTTTTATATTATTAAGCAAACGAAGCAAAGAAATAAAGGGTAAGTTTGCCTTGGGATTGATTTATTTATTGCAATAAGAAGACTCCCAAATAGCTGTTGCTGCAAGGATGAAGATCTGGTCGGCCGATGAATGACAACAATAAGTTAGGTTTTATTTTCGATCAATCTCAATGACATAACAAGATGGGCTTGGTGGGAAAAGGTTGTGGCTATTTCATAGGTGGCTTGCTGAGTAGGGGCGGCAATCATTTTTGATAAGTTTAGCAGCGGTGGCTAAAAGTGAGAACCAAATGTTGGAAGAGAGGTTTTTTTTTTTTTTAACACGAGCATTTATGTTATACTAAAAAAAAACAGAAGGCAATATAGTAAGAAGCTTTAGCTCCTTTCCCGGAGGAATATATGCTGGGGGGGGAATTTTGAATCCCTTTCCCCTGAAAATTTTTAACCAAGTGAAAAGTTTTTTCTTTTTTTTTAAATCTTTCAACCAAACACACCTTTAAAAAAAGACTCGATTGAAGAGGTGCCAAATCTAAGCCATTTAAATTTGAATTTGAACCAGATTTTTAAATTAATTTTTTTATTTTTATAGGTTTTAAAAAAATTATATAATTTTTTATTAAAAATATAAGGTATTTTGAATCGAATCTCATTCATAATAAAGCAATTACTTGTCTTCAAACTAACAATATATTTTTATATTTATCCCTGTTTAATAAGATGTTTTACTCTAAAATAAATATAAAGTGATTTATTCAATAGGAATACATTTGAAAAAAATAATGATTACACCTTAAAAGACTAAAAATACCTTATATTTTTTAATATTCAACCTCTCAAAACATACATTACATTTTTAAATGGAGGGAATAAATTATAAATTTTTTAATAAATTTGTTTATCAACTTGAATAATTTAGATTTAATATGAATAGTTCATATTTAATTTATAAAAATCATGAAAAAAATTAATATTAAACCTGCACAGTTCAAAATGTATCTAGAAAATTAATTTATAAAAAAATTGATATTAAACATAGACATCCATATTAAATACGAACTATCTAAATGGGTGAACAGATTTATTAATTTTTTTACAATTTATATAATTTTTTATTTTAAAAATGTATAACAAAATAGACAAAATTAAATTTAAATCACCTCATTAAATCTTAAGACCATTAAAAATCACGCAAAATAACATTATAGCTCAACAATGATGAATCGCGCTTGTTGATAATATTATAGAAATTGGAGTAATCAAAGGCAAGCACGAATTCTTTGCCTCCTACGTTAAATTATCTGCATAGATCAGGGAGGGCAAAGATATGGCAGATATGAAGAAACCCTATTCACTATTGTTATTTATGCCACTAATATCCCATACTCTTCTTCACAATTACCCACCATTTGCACCAAAGATTGTCTTGATGCGAGATAGGCGCACTGTGAAGTGATATAAGATTAAGGGAAAATTAATCTTTTACTCCTTTAACTTTTAAACCACTTGTAACTCAGTCCTTCAATTATGACTCGCTGTGAGTCGACTATAACTCGTCTATAATTCAGTCCATCAACTTTTGAATCACTTACAAATTAATCCCTTAACCTTTATTAATTTTTTTCATGTTAACTTGTATCTCACATTAATGAATAAGAATAGGGTATTTTAAAATAATATATAAGCATTTTTTTATCTCTCTTATTTGATAAAAAAATTTAAAAAAATTAAAAAATAAGGACTGAATTATAGGTAAATCAAAAGTTGAGGGACTGAATTGCAGCGAATTATAATTGAGGGACTAAGTCGCAGTGAATCATAATTAAAAGACTGAGCTACAAGTAAGTTAAAAGTTGGAGGACTAAAAGATTAATTTTTTTTAAGATTAACACAATTTGTACTGCCAAAAAAAAAAGATTAACGCAATTTAGAGAAAAAAAGTTAAATTAGAGAAAGTATTTTTTATTTACATCAGTTTCAAAAGCAGTCCAGAAATAATTAAAACTGAAATTTTTATTTAAAAGATATATTTTTTAACCAACTTAAAAGGTTGACGTCAATAGTTTTGTTTTTAACCAGCGAAATGATATTAAAGAAGTTGATAGCCAATATTGTCCATGAAGAAAAATAAAATATTATTATAGTTACCCCATTATAAAAAATGTTAGCAATATTTTAATGCAGCAATGAAATTTCTGCAGCTTTGTTGGAAAGTATTCTTACGTGCCACACACTAAACTTTCAAATTGCAAGTTCAAAAAAAAAAAGTTATATATATATATATATATTCTAATGCAGACACAATTCAGGTGTTCTTAATTACTTCTTTTACATTTATCAAGTCGGATAAATTTAAAAGGAGACACAATTCTATTCTTTCCCATTTTTCTCTTTGCTGCTAGTATATACTCATTGCTTTTACTTTAATCTTCAAAAATTGTTCGATTACACCCGTACTAAATAACATATAAAAAAATTATAAACAAAATTGGGTGAAGTGCATTCCTTTTGAAGGAAGTTCAAACCAAACTGCCCGAATAAATTAAATATTATGAAAATATTACTATTATTGAACCGTTATTTTGGCATAATCATGCACATGTAATTATAATTAAAAAAATTCATCTGTCGTTACTATGTCTATACATTATTTATCTCTTATCGTAGTTTTGCCCGGCCATGCTCATTTTATTATTAATCATGGTTGCAGAACTAAAGTATAAAATAAAATAAGAGAGAAAGAGAGTTTGAGAGAAATTATTCAAAATGACAATAACTCTGGATATTAATAAATATATTAAAAAAACTTGATTATCACAGTATAAACATTGATTTCAATCTCCATTTCATAATAAAAACAAGAATCAAGAAAACAACTGATTGAAACTGGACAACGGAATCGACAATTATTGCGCGTGGTATTTCTGTTCCAGAGACTCGTGTGAATTAGGGAAGGCACCATGTGCTTGACAAGGCCCCTAGCCCCTACAAATTGATTCAATTTATAAATATTTGGTTCATATTTAAGATGTGCGTTATTAAGTTTAAATTTATTTATGGATATAATAATATTCATATTCAGTAATTCTTAAACATAAAACACCGTCTTAATGCCCAAGTTCCATCAGGGTTGCATTTGAGTACCTGTCGTTAGCCTCAGTATCTTTAGTTTAGTTTGTTGAAAGTTGATTTATCAAAATTTATTTGCTAAAAACCAACTTGGTAAAATTAAATATTATAACAGAATTTATATTTAAATTTAAATACATTTTTAAATCGGTCTAATAAACTAACATTTATTCGGAAAGTAAATCAGATCAACTTTCACCATTAAAATTTAACAAAAAGTTGTTCAAAAATTAAAAACAAACTTTTTGAAAGTAGATCAAATTGGTTTTGAACTTTCAAAAATATTACAAATGCACTTTTTGAGATAAAAAAAATTACCGAAACAAATTTTAGCTTTTGAAAATTCGTCAAAAGATTTTTTTCTTTATTTTCCGAGAGTTGTAACCAAACATGCCAAAGTCTCTCCATGTTTGTGTTTGTGTGCTTGTTTTATTTACATTAGTTATCATGTATTGTACTTTTTGAAGTTGAATTTTTATTTGAACATAAAATTAAATAAGTCTAATCAAATTGCTCAAGTTTGATTTCTATTCATAAAAGACAAACAATTAAGGTGTGTTATCATGAGACATACTAGAAACGCAGGGTCTTAAGAGGATAGAAGAACCTGACTTCTAATCAAACACAGAAAATTCGAGCTCCCTTACCACAATTCACCCGGATGTAAGAATGCAAAGTGAAGAACACTAATATAGATGTAGGAAAGTAAAGATGCATTAATTAAAGAAAAGGGTGGCAGGTTATGCTGGCCATACAACAAAAAATAAAGACTAAAGCTACATGATAAAAAGAAAAATAAAATAATATATACAGAGTCTGAGACTGGTAGTTTGTTGATGCTGATAATCATTGTTGAGAGAGAGCTTCTCTATTTATAGATGATCCTAGTTTGGTGCTCAAACCCCATGATTGTCACTTTTCTTAAATTTAAGAAACACTTCCTCCATTATATTCACTCATTATAGGTGATGGTCTTGATTTAATGGTTAAAACTTCATAAATATTTTTTTATATAATTATTTTAAAGTCAATTAAGTTGAGTTGAGTCAGAACTTCCATATTCATAATTTGGGTGTAAATAATTTTTAAAAATGAGTAATATTGATAATAAAATTTCTATTCAAAATGATCCCAACCCAACTCGGTTCAAATTAATTTGAGCCCTGTTAAAGATTTAAAGTTCTCCTGATTAGATGTGGAATAAATTCAAGATGCCAGATATACTCCGTCAAAACAGTAAACCGTTAAATTCAATTAATTTGAGCTTTAAAAGCAAAGGAAATAAGTATCCCGAATTGGGATATTACATCATAGTCACGTGGGCTTTATCTTCTAGTGACATTTGATATCATCCCACTTGGCATTAAGTGGGGAAATAGATTCGCATCTTTCCTTTCTCAAGTGTGCTGCTCATCCACAGCTGACGCCATTGATGAGTGTAAGCTCAGCCACCTGCTTCCTTTTGCTTCCACTTCGTCAAATCTTGCAAGGGTTGTGTTCAATAGTTGCATTTGCACGCAACTTAATCAATTCATTTGTCACAATGGAAACCCTTTTCTGCTTCGGCTGCGAGCTTGCAATAACACTACCCTATTTTTATTGTAACATCATATACATCATTTAAATTTGCCTTGCAACATTCAAAATTAAACATTAGAGAAAGTAAAAAAAAAAAACCATTGTTGTATTCTTGAAAATAAATAACAAGACAATGTTCAAATCTTCAAAATGTTCATATTTAATATTTCACTATACCTTAAACATGATTAGCCTTTGATAAAAAATATATATATGAACAATAAAAAAAGAAAAAAATCATTGTCGTATACTTGAGAACAAGACCGCTTCACATCTCTCTCCTCTTTTTTTTTTTTTTTGGCCAACATGTCTTTTTCCTCTTTTCAATCACATTATCTTGAAAAGTCAACCAAATGTAGGCAAGAATCAACAATTATTGTGTATTTATATTTTTTCCATCAAAATAAATATTGTCTTAATCAATATAATATATTATATTACAATTAATGATTATTTTTACAGTTCATGTATATAATTGGAAAATTTTGTATATTGTTTTTTAATTAAATTTTATCATCGAGTCGTGAGCATTTTTCTCTCTAGATTAAACATATACTTTTTTGAAATGCGCCAGAAAATGGAACTTCCTTGCGTATCTGATCCTTATTTTATAAACTAGAATATATTGTTACCATAGTTTTTCATGCAAGTTTTTAAATTATTTAGAAAGAAAATGAAAAAAAATAACGTTGAATAAGAACTTACTATCATAGATTTTTTGATAAAACAAACGTGAATTTATAATAATAAAAAATTATATACAGTAATATATAAACTACATCATTATAAGATTTAATTTAAATAGAGCGAGTCTGTATAAAAATAAATGAATAGAATGACTCACTTTAAACTTATATGAAGTAACCACAGGCTTACACTTTATTTATATTTATAAATTTATAAATATTATGTTAACAAATTACATGAAACATTTTTCATCCATATAAAACCTTGCAAACGTGTCGTTTTCTCGAATGAAATCATGATAATTGATGAGGCCAAATCTCTTATATGGATCCCACCAACAAATATAATATATCTTAGTGCAAGCATTCATCACGCCTTACAGGAAGGCAGATGCTAAAGTTAATTGTTTCCATTAGTAATTATAATCATTGTTAATCAAGAATTTTGAAGGAAATAAAGAAAATGAAAAATACTATAACCTTCCCATTATAGAATAAAAAATTCTAATATATTTTATTAAATTTAAATAAATGTTCTCATTTTAAGTGATCCACGAATAATTATGTAAATTAGGCCTGTAATAATTGAATTTTTTTTAGTAAATAATTGAAACTAGATAGAGAAATATGAATCACGTGAGTTATGATCCGTAGATGAAACAAAATGCATAATAACAAGGGAAAACAATGGTTAAGTTATAAAATATTAAATTAATAACAATTATACCTCTGACAAAATTTTTTAAAAAAATAAATTATGAATATCAATTTAAATAGTTATAAAAGAAATCTTATATATAATCTAAAAGTTACATTTGAAATATAAATGTTGTATTTACAATTTTAATCTTCTAAATTTACATTTGTTTAAATCATATTTATAACTCAATTTTTTTAATTTTGTTGGGAATTTAATTGTTATTAATCAAAAGTTTTGAGATTTAACTCTCATCCTCTCTGATAAGAAATAGATCTTTAATATAATTAACGTATCTCAAAAAAGCAAAGAACCTGCTTTTTGTTCCTTCAACAAAAAATGTCAAAGAATGATTCGGTAATGATAATGTATCGCCAATGATGATCAATTCAGGCTTCCCGTTTGGATATTTTAATTTATCTTTTAATATTTTAATTCAGGCTTCTTCAGACAAAAATACCCTCTTTTTATTTCAAAAACATTCATGTATTAGAAGTTGGTCACTCGTAACAGATTTTTCTTTATAATAAATATATATATATATATATATAGATACATATGTAGGTTGTCACTCTCTAAAATGCGTGTTTATCATATTTTAAAATGTGTTTATTTGAAAATTGAATGTTTGGATACTACATGAGCTAATGTGCTAATGATGTTCAAAAATTAAAGGGAATAAAAGGGGGTGATCAAGCTACTTTGTTAGTGACGGGGACTTTTTGTCCATTAAAATAAGTGCTTGAGATTTGACTTTTATATTATTTTTTAAAGAGTTGAATATTTAAAAATATAAAATATTTTTTAAAGAGTTGAATATTTAAAAATATAAGGTATTTTTAGTCTTTAAAATATCTTAGTCTTTAAATATGTAATCATTGTTTTTTTTAAAAATACCCCTATTAATAATGATTTTATATTTACTGTAAGGTATTTAATAGAGGTAAATATGAAAAGATAATGTTAGTTGAAAAGTAAATAACTATTTTATTGAGAGTGAGATTCGATTAAAAATACTTTACCTTTTTTAACAGAGAGAGTAACTTAAAGTTTTTAAAATAAGATAATTATTCATAACTTGTGAATAATTTAACCTGTAACTACTTGAACTAGTTCCTCTCTATGAGTAATTTTAAAATTTATACCTCATATTGACTTTTTTTAATAAAGCAAACAAAAAATGATTTATGAATGCATACAAATGTGTCAAAAAAATAATCCAATGTAACTTTGGTTTTTCTACCCTATTTGACAAGAATTAATCAAAATTTAATGTAACTATTAAAATGGTTGAAAAAAATAGCTTGCCCCCAAAATATTGAATGATAATTAGGTTTTTACGAAGTTTTTTTTAAATGTTAATTGTAAACATCAATTTAAATAATTAAAAATAAAATTTTAGTTATAATTTAAGAATTACATTTATAACCTAAACATTTTATCTATAGTAGTCACATTTTAATTTATAAGTATTTAAATTGACATTTTTAATTTATTTTTAAAATTTTACTAAATCTAATTATGATTAATTAATTTTTAGTATCTAACTATTATTTTCTTTAAAATTTTTTTGCCAGACTAAAAAAAAAACATATCTGTCATCTATGAAATATTATCGGATAAAATGAAAATTAATTTAAAAAATATAACATGTAATTTTTTTTTGCCTTAAAATATATTACTTACGTTATTGATAAATCATCTACGGGATGAATCAATTTTGAACGTATTATGCACGGTCACATCTATCTATCAATTAATCACTATTAACTCATTTAAGAAAAATTAAAAGAAAAGGCTACGCGCATATAATCGACTTATCGGAGTCAAGAAGGGTGTCTTCATTGCGGACGCTCTTTCGTTCTTTCTTTTGGGTGGGCATTTTAATCAGAGAAGACGAGTCAGAGAGAGGAAAGAGAATTGCTGCAAAAAAGACCAACTTGACCTTCGATCTTCATCTTCCTCTCTCCCTCGCTTCTGTTGATTTAGTTCTCCTTTCTTCTTCATTGTTGTTAGTTTTTTGTTCAGACGGTCACCATGAACGGGAAGGCCAACGTTTCTAAAGAGCTCAACGCAAAGCATAAAAAGGTTTTTTTGGTTTTTCTTTTTCAAGCATTCTGTGTTCTTTTAGTTCGTTTAATTGTCTTTTGCAATGTTAATTTCCAGACCCATCTTCACATATCACCGATCGTAAATTTTGGATTTGAAAATGATCATAGTCTTGTGCTTATATGAAGAAAATGGAAGCTTAGAGTTGGATTTTTGTTTTCCGCGACGGTGTGTCGTACATAATTAGCTGTTAATCTTATTTTGGGCTCTTGCTGCAAGCAAACTGGGCTAGCTGCTGCATCTGGCTTTATGAGAGTTTGATCTGCCTTTTTTGTGATGTATTAGCAGAATGAGTTGTCTTAGTGTCTTGATTCTTAACATTTCGGGGATTAGTTATTATTTATTTTTGGCCAATCGGGGATGAATTATTCGGTTATGCTTGAGACTTGATCAGGACGTGTTATTTAGTGGTGTGAATCCTCTATCTAGATAGTGATTGATTTCCTATCTCTCTGTTTTGTGGATTTCCCAACCCCCCCCCCCCCGGGGGGTTGCGCATTACTCCATGCTCAGTGGACTAAGCAGCTATTCAAAGCATGGTTAATCATATTCTTTTCTCTAGATGTCTTCAAAATTGCTGTCTCAAATGATTTCTTTCTAAAATTTTCAATCTTTGTTCTCTTTTCCTCATTGATTCATTCATTCTTTTCTTTGTCATTTTATACGGTTTTTCCAAAATTATATGAATAATTCTTTAAGTTTCTAATTTAGATGAGACTTGACCCCTTGGTAAGGGTTTACAGTCCTATGAATTAATGGAAGGGACGGAAAAAACATTAGGGGAACCTAAGTTGGACCATGATTTTTTTTACTCTGTTTTTTTTTTTTGGGGGTTCTAGAGAGACCAAATTGTTAAAGACTTAATTCTTCATCAGATGCATGCGTATTTGGTTTATGTCCATAATTGGAAGAGAGCTTTCAAGCAGAAGTGTCTAAAATCTTCATGGCATGTGTGTGCAAATGATATTCAAGATCCTTTATTTTTATTTTCTACAGATGACATTTAATTCAAAGCTTTTCTTTTGCTTTGCATTTAGAATTTTTTATTTTCTCTTTTATCTTGTCTCTTTTGATTACATTTCTCCTCTTTCTCTTCTCTTACTGATATATGCAGATATTGGAAGGACTTCTTAAACTGCCAGAAAATAGGGAATGTGCCGATTGCAAAGCTAAGTATTGTGTCCTGGTTTGAAATGATGATCTGATATGAATCTCTTTTGATAGTAGGAAAGCTGAGGAGAGATACTAATTGGTTATCAAAGTGGACTGTCTTATTGGCATTTGCAGTATATTTATATTGGTTCAGAGATTTTCACTCGATTTTCTATGAAAATTTGCTTTGCAGAGGTCCAAGATGGGCAAGTGTGAACCTAGGCATCTTTATCTGCATGCAGTGTTCAGGAATACATCGAAGTCTTGGGGTTCATATTTCAAAGGTATGTTATGTTGATTATAATGATGTCTCAATTTATATGATACCATATAAGTAGACTATTATGGAGACTCATGTTGAAATAGGATCTTTAAACGTAATATGCTGATAACATGCTAGGAGCTCATTGTCTACACTCTGTATGTGTCACAGAAAATTGTAATGCTGGCAATAGACTTGAGTGCTTGGACTATGTAACTCTTATTGATGGGACAATAGAATTTTATACTTATTCGAACACTCAATATCCAAAAACTTATAGGTTTCTATATAGAGTACTGCAACATTGATGTTAGTAAGTAGTTTGATTTTCAATCTGTAAATATGTATGCAGCCATAATATTTGTATATATTTATGTATGTAATATCTATATGTCCATTCTTTCCATGCCAATGCTATTGTTAGGGGCATTCATTTCCTCAGTTTATTGCTAGATATCCGGTAAGAATGAGCTCTCGTTAATGCTTATAGCTGTGTTCTGTAAGGGCTTGTGTAGGTTAATTTTTAACTTGAAAATCTGTAATATTCTTTTTTTGGATTCTCTAAGCACTAATAATTCAGAAACCTTCCATAAAAATTAGCTGTTAGGATGGGAGAATCGCCTTGCTTAAGAACTCATTGAGCAGCTCATACTACCAGTTATAGGACTTAACATTTTATACTACCTTGGCCTCTTAAGTGGTTATCTTAGAAAGTTGACAGGTTGTGTTTTGGGGCTCCCCCCAAAAAAATCACATTTTAAGCAGAATGCAGTAGCAGAGCCCCCCCCCACACAACACTAAAAAAAAAAAAAAAAGACATCTTTGATGACTATACTTCGCAACACTTCATTTGGCCTTCCGCCAGTTAGAACTTCTTCTGCAGGTTGCCCTTTACACAGCTACAGACCATTAGCTGTGATGCCAAACAGTAGCCATGGGCAATCCAAGTGGATGGGGAACCCTCCTCCAAATGCTGGTTCTTGATGCAGGAGAAACTACCTATATAAGCCCCCCATTGAGCAGTGTATAGTATGCGATGTATGACATTAATGTTGCATACTACCTTGGCTTCTACTA